ACACACACACACACACACACACACACACACACACACACACACACACATGCAAATGAAGTAAAGCAACTGGCTTAAATTACTACATACTAGAAAAGCATCTGTGAATATAACTTTATATAAAATTCTCATTGTACAGAGGAAACGATGCGACTTTTGACCTGCTCGTACCAGCTCTGAATGAAGCTTCAAATAATGTTTGATAATCCTTTCAAATTTTAGACGGCATGTACTCAGCTCAGACGGTTTCATCTTTTTAATTTTTTACATCCATATAACGTGAATTAATACATTTATAAATGCAGGGTTCACTTGATGAACAGCACATTCTCTGTATTCCCTTACCTTTGCATAGCTAGGCTTGTCTTTGGCGTCTGTGGATGTTGAGGATGTTTGACACTGGTTCTTGTCGTCTTGGATGGACCGATCTTTCACCGGCGACCTGACAGAGTTGCACTCTGACGATAACTGGGAAATGTAGGCTGGAGCCTTAAACTTTTCCTAGGACAAAGAAAAAAACAAAAAAAAAACATCATCAACGAAAAACAACATTGACACTATTGTGATGGTTGTTCTACAAAAGATTATACTTTGTTAAAAAGGAAAATAAAGTTTGTTCTTTCTCACTGGGTAAGCCAAAGTAAAAACAACGCTATAAATGAGCATTGTCACATCAGACATTCGGCAGAAGAGAAATGTGATTTCCAAAAATGTGAATGTAAAGAAAGTTTGAATTCTTACTTTGAACCAGTTTTTACTTCTACAATAAGAGACAGTTGAAAAATGGATTGAAATTGGATACTCACAATGTCCAGTTTGGGGATTGATATCTTCACTTCTTTCATTCCGGTCACTGCAGCTGTTAATTTGTTCTTTTTTTCTGTAAAGAATTAAAATTGAATATCGGAGTAAAAACATGTTTTTGTGACGCAGTTCAAATGCTATACTGTTGAACGGATTGTCATGCAGTTCTATACCGACATTCATGATCCCCAGAGGAGGAACCCGACTTTTCCTCTTGCGCCATCGTGAGGTTGACATTTTTTGTTTCAAGTAAAATATCTCAACAACTATGGGATGGATTGCTGTGAAATTTGCTTCAGACGTTCAAGGCCCCATGAGGATCAACTCTAAAAACTTTAGTGATACCCCAACTTTTCCTGTAGCACCACTAATTTGTCAAAGTTTAAACTTATTCACTGAAAGAATTTGACATATTCTAGGTGGATCGGCACAAAAACTGCTGACATTCGTGTTTCCCAGATGACTTTGGGGATCCCGACTTTCCTCTCGAGCCACTAGATATATTTGACCTGTATCTGAGCAGTCAGTGTAACGCCTGCTATCCACATCTATCCAGTTATTTTGCTCACCTCCTTTCTTTTGGTCTTCTTTCTCCACATTGTTCGCTGTGTCGATGTCCATGGTCTCTAGGTCTGAAACACTGGGGCGCTTCTCCTTCTTCTGAGCATCACTGCTGTCGTTGTCCTGCTTTGTCACATCTGGTGTCAAAGGCGTTGCTGGCGAGCTACTTCTGTCACCATCTTCACCATTCTCCTGGTTTCTGACAATGTCCTCATCCGTGTCCATGTCCATGTCAAAGTCCACATTCATGTCGTCATCGCCATCACTGAAGGAAATGTTTGTAGCGTCCTCGTTGCCACGAGTCACCGTTCCCACAGGTGTGTTGACAGCACAGCTCGGAGGCATTTGCTCTGACCCGTCGTCCCTCTCGGTGTTCACTTCTTCATTTTTCTCATCATCATTCAGCTCAGATGCCTTGATTTCACTCTCCTGCCTCTTTTTCCAGCCTCGGCGACGTTTTGCTGAGGGAGAACCTAGAGGAGCAACCGGTACAGCCATATGAGAAGAGTGTCAAAGCTCTCATTATTTATTTCTTATCACTGCATTTCCATTCAGCCAGAGAAGAAGTCAGACATTTTCCTCTCCTTTGGTTCTATTGTGGTTCTTTTCAATCCATAAACACATTTTTGAAATCTTTGTCACTGTTCACCAGGTGGAGGATGAGTTTGACTTTCTCAGTAAGTTGAACATGGCTAAGAATGTAAGTGCTCAAGACACAGCGAAGTCTTTTTGTTAAATGATCTATATGTCATGGCCTTGACATGTTTTTTGTTTGTGGCATTAAAAAAATCTTTGTTGTATTCCATCTCCTTTGTTCATGACTCTCATTCTTGAGTCAAATTTGTTTATTAAATTAAATGAATGAAGATGAATAAATGATGTTACTCAACGAGAGACACGGCAACACATCAACGAAAAAGAATCCAAGTACAAAACGGCTCCTAGTTCCACAGATGTCAACCTTGAACAGGACCGTTATCCACATCTGGATGAGAGATGTCCACTTGACCCTGCTCTACTCATCAAAAAAAGATGCAGTTAGCCAGTTCCCAGATCAATTTAATTTAGTGCTGGGCAACGATTAAAATATTTAATCGCGATTAATCGCATGGATTTTTTGTGATTAAATCGCATGGATTTTTTGCGATTAAATCGCATTGTTATGGCAAAGTTCAATAATGAATTCAAAAGTAGTGTATTGCGCACTTTTATTTTAAAAGTACTGCTGTATGAACAAAGGTGCAATAACATTTGGTTCACGAGATGCAGGTAGCATGTTTTATACTCAATGTGAATATAATTCATACTTTGTTGCCATCTTATTCTGAAAACCGGATGTTCGTCTGACGAAACCGGATGTTGTCTCACGTTAATGTTTCCGCTAACTTTCAAAGTCCTTCTCTCGCTCCCGATCTGTGCCGTTTAAATGCGTTTACCGTGAATTTCAGCATATAGGTGCACTAACATGCAAGTGTCTGACACACGTACACACACACACACACACACACACACACACACACACACACACACACACGACTATAGGATGTTTGCTGGCTTTTATCCCACTGTTCTTGTCATCCTCTTGTTGTTGTATATGTATTGTCTCTTGTCTCCTCTTTCAATATGAAAAAAAATAAATAAATAAAAAATTAAATTAAATTATAATAAATTTTAAAAATGCATTAACACGCGATAAAATAATTGTCGGCGTTAATTAATGAATGCGTTAATTTCGCGTTAACTTGCCCAGCACTAATTTAATCACTACGCAACGAGCGCTTGAGCAACATTTCAACAGCAACTCAGTGAAAATATAACTCGCCACACTTGACCGTTTTTGTTGCTTTTGTTGCTTGCAGTGTGAACATAGCATGAGTGTTAAGTTCATAGAGATAACACTAGTCTTTGTATATGGCATAAGAATTGTACATTAAAGGAAAATGCACTCCAAAACACTGTTCAAAACCAAATGTCGGTGGTGCTTATGTTATGGTGAATCTTTCTCAGTCCTGTGGGTAGCGTAATTACAGGAATTTTAAGAGTAGATGAAACCAAATCCATCGTTCACGCTTAATCTGTATCAAAATTCCTTTTTTGAAAGTCAGAAAACTAAGATAAAGCATCAGAATACCTCGTTTACATTTAGATGTATTGAACCTCTCACAGCTCAAACTGCAGCTGGTCACGGAGGGTAATCTTGTGCCAGTGGAAGAAAATGTAGTAATGCGTATTACCAGCTTCAAAGCCACTGAAAATGTCTGCATGGAAAACTTCTCTGAAAGACGACTATTACACAGATCATTGTGTAGATGGAGAGAGTGCGTCTACTACATACTGCTCATCAGATGAGAACTTTCTGATTCCTCAGCATCACCGTTTCCAGGGTTGTGCTGCTTAACAGCTGGCTCCAATTCATCTTCAAAGGAAAGCAAGATATGGAAAGAGTCACGGCAACGATAGGACACGGTGATGTGGTTTCAATCAATTCAAAGACATCATCACAAAAACTTGAATAATTAATCTTATGTTGATTACAATCCGATTTGAATATTCAGTTTAGATAGGTCATTCCATTGACAACCAAGAAAGGGATTTTGTCAACTATAACATACTTAAATTTGCAGGTTAGACTTTTTTACATGCACATTGACGTTTTCTGCCAAAGAAATGTGCCAGAAAGAGGCAGAGAAGAAGAAGAAGAAGACCGCTGGCAAGTAAACATGGATGTAAACAACGCAAGTTTAAATACGTAAAAAAAAAGAAAAGAAAAAGAGATCAGCTCTGCAAACGCTTTTTGGAAGCATAAGCAGTCAAGATGTTTGTTTCAGTAACACTTTTGTTTGTTTAAAAAAACAAAAAACATCCACACTTTTAACTGGACACTCACCTGGAATCTGAATTTCCTCGAGAGATTTCCCTTTGAATCTTTCGAGAGATCCATTCTCCAGCGCTGACAGCAGCTCTGAGATTCTTGCAATGTCACCAGCCGCCTCCAGTGTCTGATAATATTCCCTGTCGGTCGGAATGTCCCGCCCCAACAGCTTGGCTAGCTGATCGAGCTCGTTGCTCGTGAGCCCGAGAATCTGGAAAACTCTTGCAATGTGCTTGTGGAAAAACGGCGAGCGCAGGATCGCCTTGTTCTTCGCGCCGCAACGAGCTGTAAACGTGACGGTGCACCGCTGTCCGTAGAAGAAGCTCGTGCACGGGGCATCCGGGATCCCGAATAAGAAGGGGTTGTTTTCATGCACGCCGCATGCTTCTCTCTTGTTCACGAGCAGAGTGATGGCAGCGAGCAGTTTAGGGGTCAGCGAAACGGAAACTTTTTGGCCTCTGCTGCTCATGACTTTGATCTTCACTGTGGTCTTGGACAGGATTTGCTCGAACTGAGGCTGGTCTACGGCCACGTCCTCGTGAAGCTCGGCCTCTTCCTGCTCCTTGAATGACTTGAGCGTTGTTTCTGAGACTTGGGCCATGTTTCTGTTCAAGATGGACACTTGCGCAACAGTGACCCTGAGAAGCGCAGCGTAGACCGGAGGGCTTTCGTACAACGTCAGGCTTTCTACTGCAGAAGCTGCGGTCTTCTCCATGCACCGATAGAAAAGCTGCACATCGTGGATGAACGGTACAGTTGGCGTGCTGTCTTTCGATACTACCGGATAGACATAGCACCATTCTTTCGCGCACAACTTCATGAATGCATCCGCTTCGTCTATCGTCCTGCTGCCGGCGTCCCCTTTCCAAGCTCTGGCGAAGTTGATGTCGCCAATTTTCTTGAGCGAATTCCCCAAAAACTTAATGAAGCTTGGTTTCTCATAGGACTTCGTCTCCTCGTTGAAGCCAGCGAGCTCTCTCACGGCTTCGACAAGTTTGCTGAAGTTCTCGGGTTTCACAGCGTCTTCAAAGCTACATATCGACATTTGCTTTAAGCTCAACAGGAGCCGTCCCATTTGCCTCAGCTTGTGTTTGATGAGTTGAATTCTGCGTGCATTTCTTTCCTTCCTGGAGTACAAACACTGTGCCAGCTGCAGTAAAAAGGAATCATTCAAGACCTCGGATGAAATCTCATCTTTCCTCAGTGTGCTTAACATTTTCCTCACATGTGGCGAGAGGTTTTGGGGGTCTGTTGACTCCGCAGCATCAACCAGATTTAAGGCTTTAATCTTCACCGATTGAAGTTTGTGGCGCTTCTTTGCAGGACACCTCTGCATGTGTCGCCACATGTCCTTACGAATGTACATGTTTTTACAATATAGACAGGATGCAAATGTTTTCGCAGTGGTGAGCATGTTTGAGCTTTTTCTTCTCACTTTAAGTTCTCCGCAGCGAGTCTTCAAAACCTCTTGATTGTGCATGTTATTTCCTCTGTTCCGCAATATCTCATGCAGCTCTTTTCGCTCTTTAGAGTTCTTGCGTAGCTTCAACACCGCAGCTATATCAGGCTCTTGCTTTCTATGGGTATAAAGGTGACGGGAAATTTTAGACTGAGCGACCCCACAAACGTAACAGTAGTTTTTGTTGGTGATGGAGGGGTCTTTGAACTCTTCATCAGATGTAGAATCATCAGAGCTGTAGTCAGACTCGTCCTCCTGCTGGACGAACGAGGCGTCGATGGGTTGTTGCTCAAAGCTCAGCCCGTCGTTGTCACTCGTGGAAGGTACGTAGTCTTCATCATCAACCTGCAATTATGGACCGGTAGTCTTACTCACTTTATAGAATCAAACACAAAGCAATGCTTATCTAGTACTCGAGACAAAGCAATGCTTCTCCAGTACTCGAGACATTGTCTAAGCTTGCGGACATGCCGCCCCACCAGAAACATCTCTAAGTGCGATTCTAGTAATTAACATCGGAGTTCTGATAGTAAGTTAGTTAATATCGGCATAAGGAAAAAAAACGTTGATAAATGATCCAATCGCTAATCAGCAAAAGCCAATCAACAATCTTCACTGGTATTGAAAACTTGCAGAAAGCAAACAGGAGCACCCAATCACAGTTGGTTGAGATTGGCAGATCAAATCCATAACGAACATAATTGCGTGTTGCAGCCCTGAAAAAATATTCACCGCAGCTATAATGGAGACACCAGTAACGTCATAAAGGGTACAGTTCTTCCTCAACAGTCATGCCTAACCCTGTAAGGCCACATCCACCCCGTGTTTAATGAGGTAAACACATTAAACACCTACCGTTTCATGCTCTGGTGAAGATGCAGCGGCATTCAGGTCTCCTTGTGATGCATTCAGGTCCTCACTGCATTCCTGTAAATGTTAAGGAGACGATACTGTATATAAAAAACCTCACATGATGTTTTTCCTGCACAGAGTACTGCAAGTCATCTGCACTGACAAGAAACGTTATTTGCACCATCGTACCAGTTTGTTAGGTACACCTATACAATCTAGTAGAGTTCTATTATAGATCCTACATTGGCAAAGGGCATTATATTATATACTGGTTACATTACAGCCGACAGAAGCAGAACACATATTTACATCCCAGTTTATTGTTTCCGCCATTTTTTCTCTCTCTCAATTGTTTGGGGAAGTGGTCCTCCTACAAAAGGTTGAGAGCCTATGTTGTATTGGACATCATAACATTGAGATCATTTTATAATATTTTGTCATAAACAGAGGAGGGCAGAACATTAAAAACATTTGTAGACATGTCTGCAATAGTTGAATAATTAATGATATAATAGACAAAAAAGCACATATTCTAAAATATTTAAATGAAAGCCCTACCCATGAGCGCCACGAGTAAGAGGAGTCCCCGTAATTGTAAGTTATCTCCTCGCCTGGAGATATTTCTGTCACTGCAAACAGGCACAAGTGTGGTTTTCCCTCAAAGACGACTTTCGTCATCTCACAGTTGGGATTTATGTGATTATCATTCACGAGTCGTCCAAGGGTCCTGTCATCGTTTGCAGCATCAATGCTGCAGACAAAAACACTTTCAAATGAAACTTCAACCACTCTTCAAATATCTGTTTTATCACTCTGACTGAGATTGACGGTGGTGACAGAAGGTTAGATAGTTTGCAATTCTGTCGAGGCATGGCAACAGACACCTGCTGTACTCAAACGACTCAAATTTATAGGGAAAAAAGCATTTTACTTACTTAGATTCTACATTTTCTAAATTCACACTCTTTACAGTAAAATGGCGTTAAATTATCCGGTCAATTTACTGCAGACACACTCACACAAGACATTCACGTAGCATGCATGTAGGAGGGTGGTGAAAAGTTTGACTTGGCGACATAAATCTTATCAAACTTACTGTAAAGTTTTCCCTACACCAAAAGTCAGCATAGGCCATTTAAAAACAATTCCTCTCCTTTCATGAAATATCAGAAAAAGCAGCAGCAAACTCACCGCCAGCTTGTTCCATTCCAGGAGAAGTCAAACAAATAATTGTTCAGAGTATCGCCGGACTTCTTTTTCCTGGTTTCTTTGAGAGAGTAGATGTTCCCCCGATACTCAACAACAAAGGTGGACGCTTCAATGGATTCATGGGTAAACACACCTCTCCCTGTAAGAGTAAGAATAAAAACACGGTGCATTTATTGACCAACCATTCCACTGTCAGCTCTTGATCTCGTGCACATGTCCCCCTGTGTTTGCATGGACATAAATAACCCGTTTATAAGCGTTATCCTGGTTATGATCATTACATGAAGACTACGTGACGTTTACATGAGCACAGAGAAATCGGGTTATTCATATCCCCGTTTGCATGACAAGTACACGTCACCCGGTTACTGATTAATGCAATACATTTGCACAGGCGCTGTGATGTTTACAAAAACAAACCAGAGATGAGTGCGACAGGAAGAATTATTATAACACAACACAACCTCTTTGGATCACCAACAGCTGTGTAGTCTGACCTTAATTCGTCCCTCCAGAAGTGAGGCGCTTTTGATTTGTATTTATATATTTGGTTATTAATGTCCATGTAAACACACTGAGACTCCCTGTTTCTATAAAGGGTTAAGTTTCAGAGAATCAAGGAGACAGACCTTTAAAGGGGTCTATAAACCTTTCCTCCAGGAAGGGTTTGTCTCTGTAAGTTGTTATGTGCTCCACGGCATCTTGCTCAGGAGTCAGTTGCACGCCTTGTTGTTCTGCAGCCTCTGGAAAAGTTATTCAAAAAAAATATATAGTAAAAATGAAAAGCATAAACAAGACTAACATTGGTATCATACACAAACCCTGTTATCTTGAAAAAACTGAAGACTTTGTTCAACCTGTGTTGAACCAACCAGTTTAGTCAGTTTCCGCAAGAAGGTAATTATGGTTTCCAACTTGCACTACAAATTATTCATTGCACTTGTATCGTCTCATCATGTTTCTTGATGATTAATGTCATTTCATTTAATTAATACCACCTCTGCAAAGGAAAGTTTTCTAGATAGAAATATGAATATTACATATAACATACCGCTCTGCGGAAGTAAAAGATCCGATTCTTCATTGTCCACCTCAGCATCGCGGTTTTCAGGGTTGCCCTGCTCCACATCTGGCTCCAATTCATCTTGAATAAAAAGACGGATAAAGCGTTCATTTGTAGTCCAAGAAGAGATTCGTCTCTACTGAACAAGCACTGGCTGGTCAGACACGTGCAGTACACTGGACACGTACCCTCAATCTCAATTTCCTCTAGAGAGTTTCCTTTGAATTTTTCAAGGGAGCCCTTTTCCATTGCCAGGAGAAGTTTCGATATTTTTGCAAGTTCCACAGCTGCCTCCGGTAGCCGATAATAGTCCCTGTCAGCGCGGATGTCATGGCCCAACAGTTTAGCCAGGTGATCTAGCTCATCGTTCTCCAGGTTGAGAATCTGGAAGACTCTTGCGATGTGCTTGCGGAGATGCACCGACCTGAAATGCTCTGGGTTCTTTGCGCGACAGAGACTAGAAAAGACCATGATGCAATTTGCTCCGTGAAAGAGGCTCGTGGGAGAAGAATTTGGCATTGCAAACAAGAAAGGATTGTCTTTGTGTACGCCGCACGCTTTCCTCTTGCTCACGAGAAGAGTTATTGCGGCGACAAGTTCGGAGGTCAGCAAGACAGCGACGTTTTGGCCAGACCTGCTCTGAATATTTATCCTGATGAAGTGCTTGGACAATACTTGGATGGAGTCGTCTCTCTGCTGGAATGTCTCGAGTGTCATTTTTGAGACCTCGGATGCGCATTTGCTTAAGACAAACGCTTGTGCAAGTGTCACTCTGCAAAGGTCATCGTAGACCTGTGGGTTTTCATGCTTCTCCAGGCCTTCGATGGCAGAAGCTGATGTTGTTTCTAGGTACCTGTAGAACGCTTGCACATCACGTGTGAAAGGTATGGTGGACGGTTTGCTTACTTTTCGTCCGCGAAGCGAAGCGAGGGCTGTGTGGGAGACGAGCTGAGACCATTCTCTCTGACACAGTTTCACAAACGTCTTTGAGTCCCTCATCATCTTGTCACTGACGTCAACTCCGGCGAGGATGATTTTGCACATTTTCTTCAGTGAATGTCCCAATCTCAAAGCCAGACTTGGCTTGTTGTAGCTCTGCATCTTTTCATCGAAACCAGTGACGACTTTGACTGCCTCAACCACTTTGTAGAAGTTTTTGGGTCTGATAGCATCTTTGACGCTAAATATCGACTTTTTGTGCAGTGCTAACAAAAGCCTTCCCATTTCCCGCAGCCTCTGTCTGATGTATTCATGTTTGCTTGGATGATTTTCATGCTTGTCGCATAGGTACACCGCCAGCTGCATTAGAAGGAAGTCCTTTTGGACGGTGGTTGCAATATCATCTTGTTTCATTTTTAAGAGCATCTTCCACACGCCAGCTGAAAGTTTTCCGGAGAATGGGGAATCTGCAAGAGCGATCTCGCTTAAGACTTTTATCTTTCCGCCTGTTGCAGGGTTTGACGTTGTCTTACAAGGACATCTGGCCACATGCCTCCACATCTCCTTACGTCCAAACATGCCTTTACAATGTAGACAGTGCACATGTGTTTTAGTACTGATCTCCGTGGTTTTTGGTCGCCTCTTCGGTTTTAACTCTCCGCTGTTGTTCTTCAACACGTCTTGATTATGTTGGTAATTTCCCCTGTTACGCAATTTGAGAAGTAACCTTTTTCGTTCCTTGGTTCTGGGTAATGCCAAGGCTTCAGCGATACCAGGCTCTTCATCAGCATGCCTTAAAAGATGACGAGATAATTTAATGACACCTTTCCCGCAAATGTAACAATAACATCTAGTGGTGCGAGAAGTGCCTTTGGGGTTTGGTGTAGCCTTGCTGGGTCTGGAGCCTGAAGCAGCCTTGCCTCCCTGCTGGGCGTATGAGGCATCGTCTGGTTGCAGCATAAAGGTCCCCGACATCTCTTTAGAAGAGTCTAAATCTGCAAAAGTTGAGTTGTCCCTGAAATCCATTTGACTGTTGATGTCGGCAAAACCGCCATTGCCATGTCTTTGTCCGCTGTCAGGTAGTTCTTTGTCGTGGTCATCATCATCAGAGCAGTAGTACTCATGCTGAAAATACAACACAAACAACATGATGCGATATACATTCATGTCTGTCCAAAATCTCATCACTTTATCATTTCATCCTATTAGAAATTTGTGTCATATGAATTCCAAAAATGTGTGTCATCAGGTCACAGTGACCTTTGTCCTCCAAGATCTAATCAGTCTGTCCTGGAGTCTAACAGTCTTAGTGGACGTTGTGACGAATGTGAGGAGTGTGCCTATGTTGCGAACACAGCAGACATAGTCAATATACATAATCTTTTACATACCCTTACAGTCCTTGGTGTTGATGAAGTAGCATAAAAGTCTGAGTATGAAGTACTGGATCCATCAAAGGACACCTGTAATTGTCAAATGCAACAAAAAAAGAGAGAGCAAACTGCAAATCTGAATCACTTTGAGTATTGCCTTAATTAAAATGTACTTTGTTGGCGAGAAGTTCAACATCCAAGAAATAACTAAATTAAATTATCACATGAATAAATACTGAAAACATATCATAAAAACGTGAAATTGTAGATAATCCGATTTTTCCCCATTTTAAAAATTGTGTTCATTATAATTAAATGTTATTTTATCCTGCTTCTTTCCAAAATAAACTTATTGCATTTCATTTGTGTCATTCTAGAAATTAGAGTTTTAAAATACACACTATTTGTCCCAAAAAACATCTTATCTTCATATAGAATGAGGATTAAGTGATGATAGTTCCCCTGTAGCATCAAAAAATGATGATTGCACACGGTTGCCAGTATGGCTACAGTAATTCTTGATTTACGACTGTAACGTCTTTAACTTTAAATACAGAGCAGTAGGCCTGGAAACTGTCTCAAGTCAAACCTTAAATCTAAAACATGGCATATACACTCAGTTGCCAGTTTATTATATTTTATATTATCCATTTGTATATTACTTTTGTATTATATTTGTCCACCCCATTTATATCAATGAGTGTAGGCTCTCTCTAAGAGTTTCAACAAAAACAGAACATTATAACCTTATTAAAAGGGAGGACTTGTTGCAGGACTGTGCGACTGCATTCGTTTTAGCTAGGTGTATCTAATAAAAGGCAAGTGACCGTAATTCAAATACCAAAATCAAAAGCAAGGCTCCTTCTTTCACGCCTACTTACCTCTGATCGCCACGGGTAAGAGGAGTCCCCGTAGTTGTAAGTTATCTCCTCGCCTGGAGATATTTCTGTCGCTGCAAACAGGCACAAGTGTGGTTCTCCCTCATAGACCATTGTCTTCATTTCACAGTTGGGACTTATGTGATCGTCATTCACGCATCGTCCAAGGGCCCTGTCTTCTTTTGAGGCATCAACGCTGCAAACAAAACAATCTTGATGACACTTAAACCCCCCCTAAAATGACTGTACTTAACCATGTTGTTTTCCTATAAAACGTGTTCATCAGATCTCTTTCTGACAAAACTTACCACCACCATGCTCCTTCCCATGCAAACTCAAACAAATAATTGTTTAGAGTATAACCACATTTCTTTGTAGGTTTTGTGTCTTTATGAGAAAAGATGTTCCCCCGATATTCAACAACAAATGTGGATGGTTCAATGGCCTTGTGGGTGAACAATCCTCTCCCTAGAAAAACAAAGATTAACGGGAAAACATTCATGTGTGATGACCAATTAGCAAAACTATCGTGTTCATTTTATTTATTTATTTGTTACATATCAAAAATATATATAACATATATTGAAAAATGTCGAGGATAGCACAATAAAGTTTAAGGATAACTTGTTTCCATTGTGGTCGTCTTTCCAGGGAGACAAAATTAGCAAAACAAAGCTTCCAAATCATCACATAGGCTACATAAAAAAAACACAATACATCCATCCAAATACAGCTACAGAGCAAGGAAAACACACACACACACATATCTATATGGAAATATATATAATGACAGGGCTGACTGGATTCCATTCCACTGCTGCCATGTACCATGATCATCATTTTATTCTCACCAAATCCCAATGAATAAATATATTGGGAGACAAATATCCTTTTGACACTCGGAAGACGAGAAAAGCACTATACAAGCACAGTCCATTTACCAAATACACAATTCAAATTGTTCCCTCAGTCTGCCTTGTTTAACTCTAAACTGGAGTATTGTACATTTTCCCAGAACGTCTTACTTTTAAGTCCTAAAGAACAGTAATATACCTATTAACAATTAAAAGTGAGTGTGTATAGGAATATACATTTAATTTGACAATAGTCTATGAATACCAGTGCATGTCTCATTCCTAGTAAATCTAACATTTAATAACTTTATCATTAAACACTAAGTTTAGCTTTGTAAATAGTTGCAGGAAGGCTCTTATTTCACTCCAAATTTTCCCTCTAACAAACCAGGTAATGGCTTTTTGACTCATTTGCATCTTCATATCAGAAAAAAGGCTCCAAAGCTCTGCTGAACTGTTAAGTAATATCAGATATCCATTCATTACCTGTCATTACAAATGTACCTACCTTTAAAGGAGTCTATAAACCTTTCCTCCAGGAAACGTTTGTCTCTACAAGCAAGTATGTGCTCCAAGGCATCTTGCTCTGGAGTCAGTTGCCTCCTCTGCTTGTCCATGACAGCTGGGAAATTTCCCAAAGATACTAAATTAGTTTGGGTGATATTAGATCTGCTGAGCACACTGTTCTATGTAACTATGTAGCAGAAAGACAACGACACCTTGGCACTACAAGGTTTGTTTACCGATATGAAACAATGTGACAACAATAACTAAACATTATGTCTGTGATGCAAGTAAGGTTTGAGTAATACAGCTTGGGTAGTTAAACTACAAAATAAGATTAAAGTACATCACTGAGGCAGCCTGTGCAAAAGCTCACTACATTTATTTCTGAAGTGTCCTTTTTTTCGTGCTGCCACACCTGACATGTATACAACTCTTATTTTGCCTGTTTAATATCAATAGAATGTCCAGATTATAGCCTTTTCCTTATTACAATAACAGAGGCAACCCTGTTTGTTAAAGACTGGTATGAACAGAAATGAAGACAAATGTTCCTCTCTATTGTCAGGAAAGACATAAATATATACAAAATAAAATATTTCCTATCTGCATTAGTTGCCAATTCACTAAAATAAGGCAGGCTGTGTGTACTTAGAAACTTCACGTAGGCTTAAATAGAAACTAGTGTTGCAACTATGATTAAAGAAAAGCAAAGCTAGCTACCTGGCTATGTTGGCTGTTATCTGTCTGATTGTATTTCTATGAAACCAGTTTTGTTACGATAAAGTTGTATCTGACTGTTTACTTCCTGGTGTACACATGCCTTTCTAGCATGCTAACACTAACTAGCAAGTGGTAAGTAAGCTAGCAGTGGTTTGCCAGCAATTTGCCAACTGCTTTTGACTTAAATACATGTACTTCCAATAGATATATCCTTTAAACGTGTTTACCTTGGGTTCAACGTCCCAAAATAGAAGCAAGAAGGGGTGCAGATGTAGCTTGCAGAGTGGCAGCCATGTTTTCTTTCTGTCTTCTTTACAGAGACCTCGTGACGACGATGCTGCGATATCTACTTCGAGCGACGGTAACTCCAGCCAATCACTAATCGTAACACCACCGCGTGACTCTAGAAGCAGCCAATCGGCGGCCGTCGATGTCTCTACCAGCAGCAGAATCATATACGTGCCGGAGGACAGCCAAACACACGAATATACTTGCCTGTGTGGTTTATGAGGACACACAGAAAAACACGCGTCACCTTAATTGTCCCACATTCAGGCTAACACACATGTAAGAAGCACATATAATTCAATAACTCAAACCATGTTACTGTTCTCATAAAACAACGTTTTTATTCAAAAACAACATACAATAGAAAATACTCAACATTGGCAGCCATACTGAGGACTGGGAGTTAATATAACCAAGATATACAGGAAGGGTCTGTAGGCTAGTTTTTATACACCAGGGTCATGGTTATGCAAAAAAGTCAATGTCTCAGAGGATGCTTGGATGAAACAGCATGTCCAAAATGAAGTTATCACAACACTCAAATTATTCTGTTCAATTCAGTGTTCAACAAAATTGTGTTGTTTTCCCCCCAAATATCAATAAAGTTGTCAGTCTTTTTAAAAAGTGACTATTTTCTTAAAAGTATTTAAATCCATAAAGACATTTTTAATCCAATCATTTGGACACTCACACTCTATCCATTTCTATTGATGAGGCAAAAGGAATTATAGAAAAGCTTTTTCTTTCAACGTTAATGACAAAACTCATGTGACGCTCTGTAATCTCACAATCAAGTGACAAGACCTGAAGTCTGATTATTTGATGAATTAAATCTTCAGTGAAAATTCAATTATTTTACAAGTTACCATGGCAAGTTGAAGAAGCCTCTGGAACATAATTTATACAAGTAGCTATAAAGGGAAAACAGTGATGACTCACATTTCCACATCATCAAATGTGATTTCCTTTGAATTCCAGGAATTTTAGTTAAGTGTATTTCCTTAATTTCTGAGAATAACTTTCCTCAGGGTATAAAAACTGCAAGAAAAAAAAAAAGATCTGGAAATAAACGTGTGCTCTGTCACTGACGGTTGAGGATTTACACCACAGAAAGCTGGTTTCAGTTTGTCTGCTGGTCGTTTACTCACTGACGACAGAAATCGTCAGTGTTTTTCACTGTAGCGCTTTTAAGCAAGGACAAAAAAATAATAAAGTAAGTCCAATTCACACACAGAACTGAAGGAATCAACATGGAAGGAAAAAAGTAGCATTATCCATGAGAAAACCATTCACCGGACAAAACACAAAAGGACAGATACGTGTCCTGCTGAGCAGTTGGTCAACAGTCTGATTGCTGTAGGACTTTTCTTTGCACTTCTGCATATTACTCTGTCCATTTCTGTTTATTGGGCCATGTTTAAATGAGCATTTCCGTTCATCTACAAACATTTACACCACAAGTTGCTACGCCAATAAAAAGGTCACTTCTGCACTTCATCACTCTGAATCCCCATCTTCCTCCTCTTCGGGTGGTATAAATGGTGGATCCTCGGATGTCTTCTGCTCCATCCCTTCAGCTTTCGTCTTCCCGAGATGAAGTTCTCTGACGGTGAGGATGCGGACGAGCATGCCCTCCATGGTGCTGTCGTCCAGAGGGGTGAAGGAGAACCACAGGGGGCTGTTGGGGACGCAGCAGCGCTCGGGGTGAAGGTAGAACAGGTTGGTGCGCTGCTTGACCGACTCCGAGCTGGATGGAAGAGAGTTGGTAATGTCAACGTGGTGACCAGTGGATTGAGGAGAACAATATGCAGCACTAAGTTATATTTTAGTCTTTGATAGAAACATAGTAAAGGAACTTGACTTGGCCAAACAGTCAACAGATTCAAATTCTCTCTCAAAAATGGACGTAATATCTGTGTCAATATCTGGCTCGGACAAAGTTAGATTTTTACACACATTAAAGGGTAGTTTCACAATTTTTCAAGTCAGTCTTTAAACAGCAGCCAGTTGAAACAGTTTTTTGATCACAGTAAGTAGTTCAGTGTGCTTCTATACTCACCACTTGGAGAGGTAAAACTCGTAGAGTCTGACTGGACAGCGGAGAGGGTTCTCCGTGTTCTCCATCATCTCTAGAATATCCTCTTTACTCTCCTCCTTACGCTTCTTCACAGGAACCTCTGGATCTGAGGATGACACAAACATTTACACCATTCCTGCTATGAAACCATTTCACTGCACATTTTTGTGAAAGCACATTTTAATAAAGAAGTGTCCGTTATAAATACTGTAAATGAACATGACATTTGAAAGTGCATGTACAGTGCAAAAAAAACAGAGGATCATATTTGTGAGTCTTCTGCTCTACTGCCTGGTGCAGAAGTCGCACTGCTTATGAAATTAAAGATGTTAACACACCGAATTATAGAACGATAAAGTGATTAAATATCCCTGGTGAGAATAACATCTTCTGCAGTGCCTTTTGAAAATGTTTACGGTGCAAACAACTTCGCAAAAGACAAGAGTAGACTTGGACTCCACAACAGTATACGACACGTATGGTTAAAAATAAATAAATAAATAAATAAATCAGGTTCAGGCTCATTACATCCATGTCGGTTTGGGCCAGAACTCTCAAAACTAGTTGGAATAATGGAGAGCCTTCAAAGTCGAGGGGTTACACTGCAACGTCCTGTGTTTGATGCCAGTCCTGGGACTTTAGCGGCATGTCGTACCCATCTCTCTCCCCGCATTTCCAGTCTGTCACTACACTGTCAAATAAAGGCAAACGTGCCAAAAACATTATCTTAAAAAAAAACATTAAACTACACAAATTAAGCATAATTCTGCATATGTATTTTACTGCCGATTTGTTTTTCTTTAAGTATCTTATAATAGCTCAGATAATGCAGATTTGACATAGATCTGAAATGATCATAAACGTAATATCATATAGTGTCAATGCTCTGGTGCAAAACATTCCTGCATGCCAACTGCTTGAGTTAACATTTCTATAAAAGCAGGATATTTGTGATTGTTAAAATACAGTTATTTAAATTTAAGAGGACTATTTCGATATAACTATTCCTAATTATCTTAATTAGTGGTGCAACGGATCAGCACAAAAGAATAGGGAGCAAATATAACTTTTAGAGATCCCTGATCACGTTTTTTTGCCGCTTAAGATAAGATAAGAGAATTCTCTATTAGTCCCACACCGGGGAAATGTGCTTATACTAATTGATGATCATTGATGATCCATATTGGTAGATGCAGATCAATGTTATCCTTTTACTTTGTTAATGACATCTATAGCTCTACATGTTGTTCTGTACCTGTCTCTGCTTCGTTTATGGATATTGGCGGGTAGAAGCGCAGGAAGGTGGTCTTGGTGTTGTTCGGGGTGGTTTTGGTGCAGCGCATAACGTGGGCGAAGGACAGCTGGCGGTGCTGCTCCACCGTGGTGAAGCCAAAGTACTTGCAGCAGAAGAAGAGCAGAGTGTTGAGGAGGACGATGGGAGAGTACGCCCCCAGCTGTTTACAGTCCCACAGAAACTCCTCCTCCACACGGGAGTGGATATAACCTAAAGAGAGAGGGAGTAGAAATCAGGAAACTGACAGGAAGACAAACTGATGGATTGACAGAATGAAACTGCATATGTATAACTCACCACTTGCTGTGATTGAGGGTTTGAAATCTCTCAGCATATTATTGAACTCAGTGGAGAACTTGTTGTAGAACCGATCCATGAATATGTTCTCCACACGACCGTTCTCAAACAGGTACTGCAGAGAGACGAAAGGTCACATATGTGAATAATGAGAACAGCTGTCATTTATTTGACGATAGTACATTTACTGCAAGTTACTGCTAATGCAAACCGTACCTTTCCTGCTGTAGCTGCTTCACATTAAAACTTTTCCACTGGTGAACTGGCCCTCCCCCCACGGAAAAACTCTACAATGTGCGCTAGCTGCGAAAGTGTACATATTCACACAGCACTGTAGGTCCTTCCTGTTGTGTACATTTAGGGTTTGTGTGTGAAAAGTGTCTTGCCTGCTGAATGCCGAGGCAGAGGTAGAACAGGCTGTCGGGGGAGTACGGCTCTCCGTTGGGTCGTTTCACCTCAGCGATGAAGCAGCAGAGGCCGTAGCTCAGCTCGGCGGTGGTGCAGCGAAGGACATCCTCCTTCAACTCCATGGGCCGAGCTGAAATCAAGACACGAGGAGTCCAAATGATTAAAAGTATCAAAAAAAAAAAAAGTTTGTTTTGATGCGTAATGTTAAAACTTCTTCCAAAACTCTTTTGATGGAAGGAAGGAACATTTCCAACTAACTTTAAGAGGTTTGCATATTTATTCCCTTTTTGGTTTAATGGATTCGATTTTCCCTCTATACTGTTCTGTGATTTAGATAAAAATGATCCACCAGTATAATATAAGTACATGATGTTAGGTCAAGATCAGCTTAAGTGGTTGGATCTACTGTACATCTGGACTCACAACCGAAGCGTGGCTTCTCCAGGTTGGGTTGAGTTTGCCTCCATTGGATCCATCGCTTCCAGGCCTCAACTCCATATTGACTCTTCAGTTTTGGGACGTCTACAGCCATGGCCTTGTTGGAGGCGCTTCTTTGAGTCGACTCTTCGGCTGCCTTAGACGGCCGCTGTGACTTACGACCCTTAGACGTCGGAGAGAGAGAGAAGGTTGCATCATGGATGTGGTCAGGGTGAGACAACCCGACACATGGTAGGTATTCCCAATGTCCTAACTGCAGATTTATTTTTTTGCAAGTACAATCAGATGTAGTCTTAAATGCACAAGCAGTACCAGATCTCATTTCCCAGACAGTTACCTTCTTTTCTCGGGCTTTCCTGTGAGCTTGTCGTCGTCGCAAAGCTGCAGGCGGAGGGCTCGGGGATCGCCAGGACTGCTCTCTCCACTGGGCCATCCTCTCCAGAGTTTCTGGCGATGACATCACATGAAACATTAGACCAAGCGCTCAAAAGTATTTCTCGTTCCCGACCACATTCGCAACACTTAAACTAAACCTCTTCAAACACGGGTCGAGGACGAGAGAAAAGTCAAATGTTGTCGCGTCAAGCGCTTCGGAAATCTGTACATCTCATCTCCTCACCAACAGCGAAGTCAGCTTCGACGTCCATGGGAGGCGGGGCTGGAGGCGGGGGTTCGGAGTCAGGTTCATTGGTCGCACCTGCGGGAATGTCTAGGATCGTGTTGAGCTTTTCCTGAGCGCACGGTCGGCCGGGAGACCGGAGACCCGCGTCAGAGGAGCCGTCCTCCCAGTTGTTGAGGAAACTGGCCAAGTCGTCCGTGTCCAAGTCGTCGCTGAAGTTACTGCCGGGGTCTGTCACATAAGCATGGGAGGAGCTTGTCATCCAGAGTAATAGAAATTTTTTTTATTAAAACCTCCAACATAAAAACATTTGTGGGGAATAATTTGATGCAACAATGAGAAAGTGAAAGGCCATACGAAATGTTGATTTACTTCTGATGGCCCGCCATAATATCAACATTGACCGCCACATAACGATGTTCTAAATTTTCTTCAAAATAGGTCAAATCTAGGGATGGTAACGATTAATGGACCATTGACTAATTGGTCGTTATGAATTTGATAAAGCGCACAAAGTTGAAACGGTTTACTATCAAGTAAAGATCTGAAATATAAACATCATGTGGTCTTCTGTTACATTTGTGATTTTTCTTTTAAAAGTATGTTCCAATTACTCGCATCTGCAACCAGAGGGCGCTCGTGAGAGGCGCTCGTGAGAGGCGCTCGTGAGAGGCGCTCGTGAGAGGCGCTCGTGAGAGGCGCTCGTGAGAGGCGCTCGTGAGAGGCGCTCGTGAGAGGCGTCGGGAGCTGCAGCCGTGCATCAGGCCTTCACCTTAACCCCTAAACCCCATCCTTGGCTACAAACTGGCCGACAGACTGGTTAAGTCAACAATGTCAATGCCAGCAATGCCGTCCACCTTTACCACTGCCTCACCTAATTTTACCCTCCACCTCTCATCCAGTAAATGATACCTGGTTTGCAGTCTACCGACTTGCCTGATTCCATGTGATGTCTGATAAGCTGGTCTATCTACACGTGTCTTTAACACAACGCTGTCAATCTCTGGAACCAGACTCTTGAAATCAGTTATTAGCAAGCATGTACGAAACCTAGCGAGTAAGTTTAAGATAAGATGGGTTGTCGTGGTGAGCACGCTGTACGCCGCTGCTTAGGAGAGTGTGAGTGAGCCGCCTTCCTCCCACACACACGCATAGTTTTGCTCACCATCTGGAGCCGCTGCATCTCGTTTCTCTCTCTCCTTCGGTCCCTCATCTTTGTCATTGTTCTCGTTCTGTTCTGCAACCATCTCGGCCATGAGGATTAGTTCTGCCTCAAAGGGGTCCGACGGGATCTTTTGCTTGATCTCCTGGATGGTTTCCATGATGCGCTCAGCGCTGTCCATGGTCACAGGAAGGAACATGGGTACAGGCACCTGTGGTAGTCAGAGTAATAATATAAGAGACTATGGGGGTCCGGTATGAGGACGAAGATGCCGTTGTCTAATATTGTAATCCTGATAATGAGATGATCCGATTCCACACTTCAGAGAATCAAACATTAAAAGGTGATGAGGTGGTTGTAGTGTGTGACATACCGGTAACGGCAGGCCCAGAGCTCTGGGAGTATACTGGCTGTACATGTTCATGGGTACAGGGATATACACCGGCACTGGCACAGGAACGACCATGATTTTAGGATAGAGCTCATCTACATAGACGGGAACAAATCATTTAAAAAGTTCTTCAGTGGTGAAGATTACAACCAACTTATGTTTTAGCGTCAGATAGTCTTTAGTCGAGATATGTAAACTTAACGGGACAGCACATTCAAAAGTTGTTCAAATCAGTGACTGAGGATATGACTGTGGACTCTAAAGAACAACACATTGCACAATATTTTCAAGCGGAAATTAAGAAAATCTTATATCTACCAACACGCACAGGGATGTGGTTACCATAGAAACACTGTTCTGTGGGCGTTTACCTGTCTGTGATTCGACGTCGGCGGTCTGTGTTTTACAGGAGACCCCTTTGTTCTGCACCAGCGGTCTGCAGAGCACGGCCTTGTTCTTCAGGATCTTTGGGCAGGACGGAGGATGGACTTTCACTGCATCCGTCTGAATGCTGATCTGAAGAAGAGTCAAAAGGACACAAAGAGTAATGATTCCAACACAAATAAACTTAATGAACAACAAAATAGATCCTCACAAATAGTCTCTAACGGCACCAGCTGCACCAAACACTGAGCGTGTATCCGAGTTTCATCATTTCTTTTTTTGTTTTTCAGATTTGATGAGCTGAAATGTTGTGTGCAGGCCACAGCACGTACCTTTTCCTCCCGTCATCTTGAGCCAAAACATGACTAATACTTTAGATCTTTCAGGCTTTTAGGTTGTAGAAAGTCTCCTTTACAAATACTTATTTTGTATGAAGGGTTTGCAAAAAGCATCATATTTTGTTCATGCAGAACACTGTAAAATGATGTAACCAGACTGACAACTGAAAGGACAAAAAGAGACAAAGAGGTTTCTGAGCAACAGTTAAAGTCACCACTCATTGGTAAAAGAAACTGGAATCTTAGCATTTAAACCTCTTCAATTTACCCACCAAGTAGACTACAGAGGGCCCAAAGAGAAATGGCTACCCAAAATATTTAGAGCCCTGATGCAAGCACCGTCGTGGTTCAATAATAAACTTGGTCACGTGTGGAAAAAATGTTTCCAACAGAAGTCCTTCCTGGCATTTATTCTTTAAAACTTCTTCTTTTGGGGCAAACACGACTTCAAATGTAAATAATATATTTTGGTTCTGAATTATACTTTTTTTTTTTTTTCTCTGTTAAAATAGTCATTATTGAAGGAAAGAAGAAAACCAATATAACAGGTGACCCCAAACTTTTGAAAGCAACTGTATATACATATATGTTATTGAACTTACATGTCCAGAGTTCTTTGATTGAAAGGCCGTGCCTGTGGAGACAATAACAGAGGATGAAACCTTTACAGTCAACACTGTTAACTGATTAAATGAGCATGCAGCATGTTTTTCTATCTTATATGTTTGACACATAGTTCATAAATACCTGCGTTTGTGCGTTGTTGCTGGGCGGCTCTGCTGGAAGCGCTAGATTTCCTCGTCGTAGGGCCAGCAAGCGAGATGACGTTGGCGATGACAGGCGTGACCTCCCCTATACCTGCAGATGCAAGAAAATACAAGTAGAGTCAGCAGAGCTATCGCTGATCGATTGTATAACATGTTAATGAACCCTTATGCATCACTAGGGACATTTTTGGCTCATTTGGGCTGTGGTAATGCATAAGGCATACATTTAGGTCAGGGACGTTCAACCTCAGCTCCTATAAGTCTATAATAAAGACACTCAAACCCTTAAAGACAAACCCATTCTAAGCACAATCTTTAATCCAACGGCCACAACAGCACAAAATGATGCATTCTAATAAATCAGGCTTTCAATCTACAGCCCTGAAACTTGAAATGGCAACCATAACACACACCTGTGACCACCTCGCCCTGCGTGGCCACTGTCTCACAGCAGAAGTGAAGCAGACAACTCAGATCGCAGAAGTGCTTGACTTCTCCCAGCATGGGAAGACTCTGCTTCAGTTTCCCTTTGTGGCCGCAGGTGTCGCACTTTGCAACCTGAGAGGGAAAACAGCGAGAAAGCACTTAGATCATTGCCACCGTCATGTTTTTTTTCTTTTTGGTCCAACTGTGATTTGAATAACTGCGCTGAGGCTTGCTTACGTGGCAGAAGAGCATGGTGTATTTGGACCTGCACTCCTCGGAGCAGAAGTCCTCCGTGGAGCCTCCGTACTGGGCCGTCACCAGCTTCTTGGACATGCTGTGGCAGTAGACGCAGGAGTGACAGTGTTTCCCCCAGTTTTTAGTCAGGTCGTGTCTGAAGAGGAGCTTACAGCCTGGGAGGAAGATGCAAGTGTGTTGTTTGTTAAGATTTAACACAATTTGTTAATAACTAGATGCTTTAAAAGGTGTGCGATTGTCATTTTTGTATTGCTGCCTCCTCACCGTCGCTGCAGAAGAAGCAGTCTCTGTTGTTAATCCTCTTGGCGTCTCTGGTGATCTTTTCGATCTTACAGTATTCACACAGGCTCGTCACAAAGTTGTCTTTCTTGAACTCGTGAGCGCAGTCCACGCCACAGAAGAAAACCAACTTGTCCTTCACACACAGAGGTATAAGCAGGTACAAACATTAAACCAGTGCTGACCGTTAAAATTGTGTTTTTTACTGTCATTGCGATTTCCAATGAACACACATTGCCAAAGACTGAAGCCTGGAACAACCGCAATGAATACGAAAAATGAACGCCCCCCCCCCGCGTTACCTTGATCTGGAGGAGTTCGGGTTTAAAAGCTATGTTGCGGTTACACTGGGAGCAGTTCAGTTTCAGCGGTCCTTTGCGGGCGTCTTGCAGGGTTTGGATGGGAGTGACGGTCTGGGTGGAGCCGGTTGGCAGCTTGGTAAAAACATTCACCTGTTTCTGGGACTTTTTGAACTTTTCCTACGGCACAGAAAAAAAACAATACATAATGTCTCGATTCAAAACCACTGCGAACAAGGTACGGTTTCTAGTGCGACACTAAAATGTGTGTTCTAGACAAAGGAGACTTTGATTTGATCTGTATTTACCCCGAGTGTGACTGTTGGGATCAGAAACAAACACTCTGGATTTCTGATGTGGTCAGACATCACGTTGAACTAGCTGTGATCGAGCATTACCCAAAACCTTTACAGTCAGGGACCCTCATTACCTGAAAATCCATGACACAAGGTAAAGTGCAGAAGTTCCTGATGGAGGTATCAGACATGGCCAGGTGGTAGGCTGGGACTGTGTATTTCCCACAACTATCACAACTCAACCGAGCACCTGTGGAAAAGAAAAAAAGTTTTTCGATAGATAGATATCAGTAACAGTGTAAAGTAATGAATGCCAACAGCGTCAGTCATGAAAACTACCTGTACCTATTAGGTATAAAAAAAAGAAAAGTACCTGTACCTGATGCACTGACAGTCTGGACCTTGAATGCCATCACACAGCTGCTGCTACAGAAGAGGTTCACAGAGTCATCACTGTTTTTGTTGTCAACCATTTCTACCAGCAACCGGGTAGTGCGACACATCGTACAAGGCTTGGTTATCTTCGTATTCTATTGTGAGATAAAAAACAAATACAGAATGTAGAGTTTCTTTGAGTTTTCATTTTAATAATCATGTACATTGTGTTAACTGAACGTTTAAATCTGATGCCCAACTGACAACTGACCACTAGCTAAGTCCCGCCCCTTTAACGCAGACTGGCCAATCCTAGCGTAGCATCAGCCAGCTCTTACCGGGGGTCCGACAAATATCGGCCTCTTATGCAATCTTCTGAGATCTTCTTCATTTTCAGGCTGAGGTTGTAGATTAGGAAAGGGTCAATGCCAATTGTGGCCAAAAACGTGTTTTGTGAGGTCACAGCGACCTTTGACTAACAAAGTCTGAATCGGTTCATCCTTTCAATGAGTGCCCTTTACAGGGCACTCATTGAAATACTTTGAAATTCAAAATGTCAACCCTAGAGTGCTATTGGAGGACATAACAATACTATTTTACTGTTGTGACATTTAAAAAAGTTTTTTATTTTCAAGTAGAAAATCAACATCAACGAAGTTATCGTATTTGGTTCCTTGCCCATGTGGTAAAAAAAAAAAAAAAGAAAAAAAAAAAAAAAAAAGAAGTGTATATAAAAAAAAAATACACATACAAGGTGAAAGGAACATGTATTTCTTAACATTATAATATCACTTTTAGAACATTAAAACACATGCTGGTACTGGAACAGTCAACATACACAACAACATTAGGCCACTTCTTCATGGTAACTGATGAAGCAGTTACGCTCACTGTTTATGCAGAGGTGGACCTTGCAGACCCTGCAAACCACATTTGATCTTATTATGTTGCCTTTCCGGCTGCAGTACTTGTAGGTCTGGCGTTTGGCATAGACGGGGGCATGGAAGAGGGACAAATTGAACCGCTCAGCGTCATTTGGGGTGTGGCTGCGGTGTCCCCGGACAGGTTTAGGGATATCAGCAATGCGGCTCAGGCTGTCAACAGAGGCCAATGAGCTCCTTCTGGAGCTAGATGTGGCTGGTCTCTGGCTGCTGGCAGTCCTAAACACATCGATTCTGAAATCCTTCAGAGACACGCCTTTGACACCAAGGGCCTTGCAGTCCCGGATGTACATAATCCAGGCATTTGTGAGGCTGACATCAATGGAGTACGCAAACAGTCGCAAGTACCACCTCTTGGACTTCATGAGGGTGCAGTAGAGGTGGACCAACATGTCACTCTTGTCAATGCCCCCCCATGTTGGCATTGTAACTCCTGATGACAGCTGGACAGCTCACAGGCTCCTTTGTATTGGTCTCTCTGCAGTACCTCATGACTGAGGACATCGGCTCCACCCCCACGTCTGTTGACAGCAGAGTGACCGTTTTGTTGTCCTTCCACCGGATGGCCAGTATCCCTTCATCACTAGTGACGTAGTCACATGTACCACGAGGGACAGTCTTTTTCTCCATCTCTTTGACGGCCTTGAGTGTCTGCTTTCTGATCCTATTGTCCCTGGCTGTCCCCGTGTACCTGCAGTTATGGTCTCGGAGGTACCGCACCAGCTCCAGGCTGCTGAAAAAGTTATCAGCAAAGATGGCTGTGGTAGTGAGGGAGGACATGGAACTGGCCAGGACAGAGACAATCTGGCTGGTGGCACCCAAGGCTTTTTGTTCAGGTGTCAGGGAAGCATCATGGCCCTCCAGAGTAGTCTTGCCCTGGTATAGCACCATGTCATGGATGAAGCCATCCTCAGAGGCCCTGGCAAACAACTTAAAACCCCACTTGTGTGGCTTGCTTTTTATACACTGCCTCAGGTTGCCGGCTGTCTTCCCTTTGTAGGCAACCATCACCTCATCCACAGACTGTTTGGGGGTCTGTGGCTCAAGCAGGAAGGCGGTAGTGAGGAAGCTGAACAGAGGCCGGACTTTGAAGAAGCGGTCACTGGTGCCAGGGATCTTGGTGTTGTCACAGAAGTGGACAACCCTTTTCAGCAGCTTGAACCTCTTAGATGACATCAGGTTGGCAACCTGAGGGACCCTGGTCTCCATGGCCCAGTAGTCTTCAACAGCTGGGAGCAGAACAACCCCCATAAAGATGAGGATGCCCACAAAGGTCATCATTTCCTTCTCATTTGTGTTGAAAATGGTGTTTATGTCTTTCTGAGCAGCGTATAAGTTTGTTTGGTGGGTGATATGCCTGATGATTTTGGCGTCAAAGTACCTGGTAAAGTACTGAAAAGGGGTTTCTATGTAGTCAGGGGGAGAGTGCTGGTATTCAGGCAGGGCTGTGTTGTTTATGTCAACTTTGTGCCAGGTGGTTGACCCGTCTGCTGACTTACTGGATTTACATGGCCTCTGGGCTTGTGGTGCTGGCTGCTCATCATCATCATCCTCACTGTCGCTGTCCTGGAGCACCTCCACTGCAGGCTGCCTGCGCTTCCTCTTGGCAGAGGGGCCCATGTTGCTTGGGCCTGGAATGTCCTGGTTGTCGGTGGTCAGGACAAAGTCAGGGTCTGCCACATCGTCATCATCACCTTCTTCTTCATCATCATCACTGATGGCAGGGAGGGCTGGCACGACAACAGTCTGCCTCTTCTTGGCATAAAAATCACGAGCAGACACTTGCTAAAAAATGAAACACATGCAATAAAACATAAAACTGTTATCAGGTCATAAACTGACAAAAATCACTCATATTCACTATTTATAGCTTGAATATTTCTAGAAATGGGTTAACATTCTCTCACTGTATAGTATTATACAACACTTTGGCAACATTAAAACATAAAGTCCTAAGCTGTATTGCCTTATTTGTAAAGAAAATGCACAAAGTATGGCTTGTTAGATGCATAGGGCATATGTCCAAAAATGGACATTCCATAACAATTCTAGTTGCTACGTGAACCGGTCGTATGATCAAATATGGTGCCCACATTTTTCGTGCCGTAATTTCACTCATTTCACTAAGTCCTCCACAAACAACACGCGTGTAATCACTTAGTGCAACTATTCAAGCATAACATGTGTGCGTTTCATCAACTTACCATGGTTAGTTTAGTTGTTTGGACCGTAATTGTAAATAGCGTCGAGCTGCAAAACCGTCATTTCCGGGATTCAGAAAAAAAGAGAAAGTCACATGCCCACCAGGTCTCTGCTGATTGGTCAAATGCCACAAAGGCAGGTGGTGTGACATGGGTGATCTTTGCTGATTGGCTGGGTGAAGAACACATGATTCTTGAACTCACTGAGGCGCGGGAAGGACGCAATAAGTACAGCGTGCGGAAATTACCCTATATGGTTACTCACACGATAAAGGGTTAAGTCCAAGTGGATTCGAGATATTTCTTTCACAAGAATGGGACGGGCGTAACAGACGGACGTACAGATGTACCGACAACCCCAAAAACACAATGCCTCCCGCGGTTGTGTCATAAAAAGAGAACTATGGACCCGCAGATGTCTCGAAGATGCAGACAATATGGAGTCTGTTCTGCAGCGAAGTTCAGTTTTATGTCACAGCAGTCACGGCTACAGTTTGAGCCGCAACATGCAAGATATTACTCCAATAGCGTACATTCATGTACTTATTGTTAAACACTGCCAGTATTATGCATCGTTGTGATGTTTCGATGGCCTTAAATGCCAGTGGAAGAACAATTCACAGGCTTTTTTTATGACATCCTCACCAAACGCAGAGTACACTGCGTGTCATCAGCACCAGTCTGACCCAAACAACATCCTGTTTGTTTTTATTCTTTTACTTTCCTACCTCTTTGTACTTAGCCAGACACTCTGGATTGCACAGAGTTTTGTTGCAGTCTTCCATCTTCAGCATGAGCGGCTTGCTGTGGCAGAAGGAGCCGCAGTTGGCGCAGCCGGCCATGGACAGGTTGTTCACCGTGCGGAAACGGTTAAAGCAGGCGTCGCTGCAGATCTTGTGGACGGAACCGCTCAGGATCACCTCGTGTTTACTCTGCGGGAGGGATGACAAAACAACCGTGGTGTGTTATTTCAGAGGTCGATCGTTTCGCGAAGAAAGTGTCGTTTACAGGGGCAGCAAGGGGAAAAGGTTGCGTGTACTACTTCTGTTCTGCTTAATACTTTATGTACTGTAATGTGACGATGCAGGACTAGTACCAGACACATTTTGGGTGCATCCTTCAGCCCAGGTAAAAAAGGAATTCTGATGCATCAAATGCTTTTGAAAAGGATTAAAAAAAAAATAAAAATCTTATTTACTTCCTGTAAGTGGCACACTGTTTTCAATAGCTTTACAAATAAGGTTAATAACTGGGTATATTATTATGGTGTGGATACTCTTAAGGGAAGAAGTTGTTATTTTTAGATTTCATTTCAGAGCTCAAATAATTATAACGATTTTGATAATCGATTAATCCTTTACATCCCCTGCTTGTCTCATGTGAGGGGATTTTCTGCTTTTCCATCTTTTATATCACTGTAAACTGAATATCTTCAGGTCTTCTACTTTTGGTCGGCAAAACAAAAGGCTGAAGATGTCACCTTGATATCTGAAAGATTTCAACTTAAATCAATACTTTATGACATTTCAGTGAATCCAGAAAACAATTGGCAGATTAATCTATGATGAAAGTAAATGTAAGTGGCATCCCCGTTGTGTTTGACTTACAACGCAGTATCTTGCGCACATGCTGCAGAGCGACTGTGGTGCTATTGGTTGCGGTGTTGTTTTGGTGGCAGCAGATATCCGGTGGCTGGAGAGGTTTTTCTTGTAGTTGGAGGAGGTCAGGCAGTTCTGGCTGCAGAATTCCTTCATGGTGCCTTTAGCATCTGGAGCCAGAATGACGTCCTGAGGCCGAATTATCAACCTGGGATGACATCAACAACAGGTCCAAATTCAGTAAAAAGTATATTTGGGGTCATGAACTTTTAACAAAATTGTAATTATCTACAGTAAATTAATCTTAATCTTAATTGTCTCAATATTGGGGCTGAGTATCGTTGACAGAATTACGACGCCAGTACCAACACCAGTACCCTTAAAATGATACTGATACCAATAGAGTACTTCATTCGATACCCATCACGTGTGTGTTTGAGGCCCACTGGCGAGCTAAACTCCGCCGCACTGCACAGCGCTCATACAGCGGTTAACCATCCGGTGCTCCTCCTGGTTAAAACTGTTCATTCTTTCAGCACAGTTGCCGTTGTTTGGCGGCGTTAGCTGCTAACCGCCGGCTCAGACATCTCCGCGTTCAGAGCCGTGTGCAGGCAGGCCAATCACAGGTCGCATTAAATGGAAGAACAATTGCAGGTATCGTCTGACTGGAGAAGTTTCCATACTACTACTTGGCAGTGGTTGTATTTACCTTAATAAGCTATATATATATATATATATAACCAATACCCAGCCCTCCTCAACGTGGACACAAGTTTGGAAAGACGACACCGTTTTCTGTTGAACTCACTTTTGGCAGTTGTGGCAGATCCTAGTGACTCCTTTGACTGCGGGGAGAGACGTGGTGAGGCAGGTGGTGGAGCAGAAGAGTGCTGGCGAGCCCTTCCTCTGGAACGCCGTCTGGCCTTTTAACAGGCCCTTCTTGCAGTTGGAACAGGACATGTGCGGCGACGAGGGGTTGATGACGGGTAGCGCCTGCATTTCGGCGGCTGGGGGCACAGAGAAGACCGATCCAATCCTCAAGTCCTCCTGCAAATAACAGAACGCAGAGACAGGGTTGAAGAGGTGCTTCACTGATTCTGGATCCATCAAATCCTGATTAAAGGACTTTCTTTCTGGATATTATATTTGAGAAAGCTGGGGTCCAATTATATTCAAGGACGAGAGACATTACCATATGTTCTCTGTGAATGAAGTGAGTACCGCTCACATAGTTACATAACTTTAAGAGTAGAGTGAGCACTGGTCATTTGTTGGCACCATGTCCATAAACAAGTTGTATGATGGGAGCTGTTCTTTATACAACTTCTTCTACTATTATCAAAAAGTTGCTAAAACTAAAAATTATGAATCTTGCATGTCAATGTGATTTTAAATTATTAGTTTTTTATTTTCATGTTTTTCATGTTGAGCTCTGGAAAACAAACCACCACTTTTATGACCCTAATGGGGATCTAAATTTAGAATAAATCAATAAAAAAAATTTTTTTAAAAAAGAGTGTTGCATTATGGGTCGTTTGTAGTCGTAATGTTGCTCGGCTATTGAGAGTTCTTTCAAGTCGAAAGTTGAAAGAGTTTTATATATTTAACCTCTCTGCTGTGGTCGCATCACGAGGGAAAGTTGGTTAAATGGCTTAAAATTGGCTCTTTATCTGATCTAGTAACAGTATCAATAATACATGTTACTGGATCAGACCTAGTAAAATTGTCGTGACATTTGACGTCATTCAGACATCAGACTGAGATGTCAAACTGCCATCACATTAACGTAAAGCGGTTTGTGTCTGAAAGGAGCTTAGTTTATGAAAAGGTCTGTGTGTGTGTGTGTGTGTGTGTGTGTGTGTCCCACCTCTGCAGTGTTGGGCTCATCTTTCACGCTCGCTGTAAATGCAGAAGATATCAGTGCTTGGTCATACTCTTCGTCTATGGGCTCATCTTTCACCTTGACCAAAGGCGGCGAAGGAGACGACTTGACTGGCCGAGCAGCAGCATTTACGCTTTTCTACAACAGGAAAGAAATGTTGTTGTAGATTTCAAATTCCATGGTAACACCCCGAACAACATATTTCTCTGTACTCGTTTTACTTTTCACGCTGACGCAGGTTGTCCTACTTACACTTACAGTGTCTAATCTTGGAATTGACAGCTTAACTACTTTCATCCCGTTCATCATGGCCGCTGGTGATGAGCTGTCCCTTCCTACGAAGAACATAAGCAACATGTGAACTGGTTAACTGTGAAGAAGGGTGCAAAGTAAATAATGAAGAACATGCATGCAGAAAATAATCATCGTTGCAACAGTGACATAAAAATGAAAGATGTAAATCACGCTTGTCTGTGATTGGACAGCAATTTAAACAGAATCTAACCGTAACCAGAGAGTTTAAAAACATTTACTTTTAATTGATGGATGTGAGGAAGCATTAAGATACTTCAGAGGTGCCAGTGATGTCTAGTGTCCCGGATTAGAAAACACACTATATACTACAGCAGTTAAGATCTCAGCATTTAATGATAATAATGATGATGTGCACCAGCCAAAATCTCCAAAATCTGGGAGGTTTATCTCTTATCTTAAGAGATTTCCCTTATGAAACTGATCATCTAAAATAGTGCAAGTGGGACGTCCGAGGTCCCTCACCTGTGCTGGCCGTGGCTTCAGACGACGTAGATGAGCTGGACCCCACCGAGTCTAAAGCCACTTTCACGTCCTTCGCTTGTTCCTCCTCCGCAGGTGGTGGCAATACCATGGGCTTCACATCAGCTTCCTCCTCCGCAGAGTTACTGTCCTCCGTCACTGAGGCTGTGAGGGAACATTTGAAATACAGAGATTAATGGTGGCGCTTACAGGGCGGTGCTTTGTTTACCTTCACAGAGAGACGAAGCCAGCAATGTTATTCTATGTTTCAAATGTCAACTTTGTGCTCCTCTTTTCCAACAAGAACAACACGACTTTTGATTCGCCCCAATTAACTCTCGCTGGTTGAAAATGTTTCTCTGCAACACAAAACCTTCGTGATTGAACTTTACCTGTGTTTAAAATGGAAGGCGAGCGGCTGCAGTCCATGTCCATCACACTATTCTGCTGCTCCTCATTCATCTGAGCTTCCTGCTCCACCTGATCCACCGTGCCGATGTCCATCATCTCATCGAGGTCGTCCGCTGTAGAAACCCTCAACTTACCACAAGCAGCCTCCTCCTCCTCCTCCTCCTCCTGCTGCTGCTGCTGTGTGTCGACACACTCCTTAGTGTCCATGTTTGCTACCTCCTCAGAAGTATTGTGCATGATTGTGTCCTCACTGGCATCAGGTCCTGCAGGACTGTCCTCTAAGCGGTCGTCCTTTACGGCCAAATTTTCTTTGTTCGACTCAAACTCCTCCTCAGTTTTCACCTCAAACTCGTCTTCGGTTTTCACCTCAAACTCGTCTTCGGTTTTCACCTCAAACTCTTCCTCGGTTGTCTCTTCAAACTCCTCCTCGGTTTTCACCTCAACTCTCTCTTCTTTTTCAGAATCCGAGGTGCTCTCTTGCTCACCACCGTGGACCAAAACTGTCTCTTCTTCTTCTTCAGGTCCTTTATGTTCAGTTTCTTTACTTTCCACTTCTTTTTCAGCAGCTACAGGGTAATCCTTCTCTCTGTGCTCAGAGGGACTCGAAGAAGCTTTGCGAACACGCTCCGGGTCTCCAACATCCACCGATGCTCCCGGCTCTGAAACAGCTTCCATGGACTCTCCGTCTGTGCCCTCTGTTACCTGTGTAAGACAATACAAAATTGACATTATGAACAATGCCAGGGTTCTGGCTTTTTTTCTTGTGCTATTGAAAAAACACTCCTACAAATACAAATACAACCACCAAAGCTCAGTATGGAATTTAGACATGTAAAAACCTTCAATGTGTATTTATGCTGATACTCCTGCTGCTACTGAAGGTGACTGCTCTGCCATATTTCACGATCACGGCATGCTATAATGCTTTTTATAACATTTGGATATGTTCATTTTCTTGCCCACTGTTTTCATCAATGATAGTATAAAGAGACTTGTTTCAGGTTCATGTTTGGAAATATAAGTCTCATCTCGTCATCTATTTCTCCAGACTTTGGACACTTTATTAAATACACCTATTACATTCTAATGCAATGCAATACAACAGTTCAGCCACAATTTCTACCTTAATTCAAGTTTTTAGTTGAGGTTGCAGTTAGTGATGGTATTGTACTGGATTGCATTGTCTTGGATTCCCCCTTATGCATGTAAATGGGATGAGCAAGACATTAGGAACACCCCACAATGTCATGTAATGCGAACTACACCTCAACAATTACCATGTAGTTACATGAACACCTCTCTGAACGGTGTGAATCAAAACTTAACGTTCTTATCTTTTTTTGGAATTTGTGGCGAAACTGTTCTATTGCATTAGATTTACAGGTGTACCTAATAAAGTGGCCACTTTGTGCAGATTCTAGCATTTTTCATTTGCAAAATGAACACTGCTGGTATAACAGATGAGGTATGGAAGTCTTTTGGAGGGTAAAACATCAGCAGACGTTTTTTTTGTTTTAAAGAGAGCAAATTCATTCTACTTCTAATAAAATAATAAAACATTTCCTGCACACAGCGGAGGGAACGTACAGTGAAATTTTAAACCTTGAGCCACTCGGTCTCACTGTGAAGTATAGTTTAAGTTCAAGTTATTTACGCTCATGTGCACATCAACTACAAAGAAGTCTTCACTCTCAGGCTCCCTCCGACAATGCCCATTAAATATATACCGTATAAGTTGCTGGAACAATAACAGTCGCAAGCTCTGCGGACATTTTGACATGCCAATTAAAAACATATTTATTCAGCATTGCCTTTAACTGTCACTCTGCCTTTGTTTTTATCTTTTATATGTCTTATTGTCCTATGCCTTCCTTTGTTTGATCTATACCTTTTTACATATTCAATTGTTCTACACATAAACATACATGTACCTGCAGTGTTTGCATTAGTTTGAATATGCCTGTTTTTATTTATTGTCATGTCTCTTCACTTTATTGTAAATCACTGTGAACAACACCACTTTCTGAAAAAAAACTGTATAAATAGCTATTATGTATAAAAGGAAATACAAAGGTATTTAAAAAAATAGATCCTAAGACATCAAATTTAGAAGGAAAACAAGTTAAAAAGTAGGCGAATATATATCGAATAATTAGCTGATAGTTGGAGAGTAATTAGAAGTATTTGAGTAGGTTTAAGTCTCATATTACATGCCCATTAGGACCGAGTACTGCAATATACCCATGTATTTACCTTTACAATTAAGCTAGCTAGCTGTGGTATAATCATAGATGTAGATAGATGTTTCAGTAAAACACTGGTTGCAAAAAACACAAACAGTATAAGTCAGTATTTTACCCGTGTATTCCTTTAAAACAAACACATGTCAACTTCACGCGTTAGGTTGTTGCTGATATAGCAATACTGCTCATGTAATGTAAACACAACTAGCGTCACTACTGAACAGTGGTTTAGCAAACTGCTACAATGTAACGATAGGTTAGAAATTACAGTTTTGATTACCTCCGTTTGAGTCGCCTCCTTGGGTTCAGCCATGTTATGATGATATGTAGACTAATTACATGTCCTGTAAACAAGAGAAGAACTAGCTCACCATTTGCTAAGCTAACACTAGCTTGCTTACAAGTCTGCACAACTCTGTGCCTGTCCCGTTAGCTCGCTACGATTAGCTCGCATTTATCGTGTCAATATCTCCACACGACAAAATAACTAACCACTTTGCTACATTAATAACTTTTGTATTTGTTAGATATGCCAATGTCTTCACTTAGCGACGTTATACGAAATGTAATTAACCGTCACAAACGTGCAGAACATTACCGCGCCATCGACTTGGACAGGCAGCACTTGATTGGTGGCCAGCCGTTGGTGTCCGTCGCCAGTTTCCGTCGTGGCCGCCATGTTTGCTCCAAAATCTGATGCACGAGTTTCGCAAATAAAATGCGACTCGGTGGTTTTAAAATAGACTCTACAACCGTGAAATGCTTTTAATACAGACCCAAACTACATCATTTCCTTCCAGTCTATCTTGAGCAGGGGTTGCAGACTGGAGTGTTTGTCTACTTCTTCTTCTTTAGTGTTTTTTTTGGAGGTCGGCATACCATTTCAGTGGAGCATTGCCGCCACCAACTGGGCTGGGGTGTGGAACAACTGATTATGCAGGAAGATAAAAAGACGTCTAGATTTTTTAAGTTAATAATGTCACAGTATATCTTGCTAGGTGTTTTCAACAAGAGACCTGACAATGAAAAGTCATGATTAATTATTGACTGAAGAAGGGGCTTTCTCTTGATATTATATTTTCTAAAATGTAGTATGTTTTCGAGGCTTCTGGTTGGCTACAGTTTATTTTACGGTTGGGTGCCTTTCTTATGTAATGTATGATTGACATATTCTCAGATCAGCGATGATAATGTTTCCAGTCCTCCAGAACCAATTTATTTTAGTTGTTAATTATTGTCCTTGTATGTGTAGGCTACGTATGTATGTACGTATGCCATTGCGGTGCATACACTTAACTTTCACACTGTGCCCTTCTGCATCAATGATGACACCTGGGTATGCTTCATTGTCGTAATTAACGATGCACCACTCTCCAATGTGCTTTACCTCATCATTTCTGGTCTCCTTGGGTTATCTGGTGTCTTTCCAGATGCTGGGGACTCATCAGATGAAACAGCAACATTAGCTAGAGTGACCTACTGAAGGTTAAAGCAGGGGCAGTCCCAAACACCTTCCTCCCTTTTACACAGACATGAAATGTCTCGGTATTTCATCTGGCCGGGTGTCAGACTGATAGCTGGCTTCTCATAGTTTCAGGAGTTTAAGGAGCTGCAGGGGAGTTGGGTGGTGTCTCTGTAGCAAAGCACTGGCCATGTTTCTGGCTCTGGCCTGACTTTTTGCCTCTCTCCATTTCTTTCTTTTTGGCCTCTTTTCTCTCTCTCACTGAGCTCATTGACACCCTTCTTCTTTCCAGTCTCTCTGTCTTTATTCCATTTGTCCCTCTCTTTCTCAAGGTACTTTCTTCTTCTGCCCGGGTCAGCGTGACAACGTTCCCGATATCTCCTTGCTATCTCAGCTCTGAGCTCATTCCTTGAAAAAGACAATTCAAAATGTTCCCTTACACACTTCAATTAATTGGCAGTCCAGGTAAACTAGGTTTGCCTTATCAAACTAGGTTTGCTGATACCGATACCGCCAAAAAAGTCCATATTGTCCACTCCTACTATGTATAGCATGTTATAAAGTGTGTAATAGCTGTTGTAATATGTGTAACATTATCAGCATGTGGCATAAACTATGCGCATGTCCTTCCTGTCACGAACCATGTCCACCCTGTCATGGAAGGCTTGCTGACAGGGTGGACAATGACAGGGTGGACATTTTTGGCTAATGTTAACATTTAATGAGCACATGGTGGACCTTCAGTTAGCAACATGATTCAGTTAGCAAGGTGACAATTTCAGGGACACATGCAAAATGTTCAATATCATTATGAAAATAGAATATACGTGATCAAAATGACTCGTTTTATCAAATAACTTGTGGACAATAAAACCACATAACATTTTTTTTATTTAGTATAGTTTAACCACTTGTTACACACACACTGTAGTTAGCAGAGCAGTGTGTAGGACATGCCAAAATCACGTACATCCAATGAAAAAAGTATAAAATGAAGGAAACCCATTTCAAGAGACTTATTGTATTGATGTGTGTAAATGTTTGTCCATTTATAATAAGACCTCAGAGTTTCATTATTCTGCTACATTTTCATGATTCTGATGAGGACACCAAAGGCACTTCATAGTGATATTGACCCACGTATGTATGTATGTAAATATGTGTGTATTTTATTATGTGTCAAGCACTTCGTAACTGTGTGTTTTAAAAAAGTGCAATATAAATAAAATATTATCATTACATCATTACTGATGCAAAGTGTATATTTTCATGAATATTTAGATTGAAGAAGTGTTGAGATTAAAAAAAGAACCATGACCCTCTCACTCACGTTTCCACCGTTGTCTTCCGGCAACAAGTCACCCCTCACGAGGTCAGAACGGGACTTCCTCTTTAGCAAGACTTGGTTAGACACAAACAGACAGGGCCAAGAACACTTATTATTTCTCTGTAGGGTATATACATATATATATATATATACTGTATATATACACAGATATACACATCTACATACACATATATATGTGTATGTAGATTTCACCCTATTACTGTTGTTAATAATAACAACAGTACTCATAAACAGTTTTATAAAGGTTGATTTATTACTTGTTATTACTTATTACTTGTATATGTATTTACATAAACACATGCTTTAATACTCTGACTGCTTATAATGAGCAGAGCTTGCCTCCAAGCTCTGGACTTCAACAGGAACAGGGTGGTAAGAAAAATGTTTGTACATTCATGTAAAAAATTCATGAAGATAATACACCATTATACCAAAAATTATATTAGTTTTGTGGAAACTCAAAAACATATTTTTTGTTTCTTAGATATGAAACATGGAGTCTTTAACCCTCTTAAAGCGAGAGAGTGTTTTGTTTTTGAATAAGAAACCATTCATATTTACGGTATACTGGCATATATAAACATATGTTTTGTAACTATCTTATTAATCTGTGTGACTTCTATGTTTTTAATTTGCCAGGTTCAATGCATTTAGCTGGGTTTAAAAACGTACACTATATGGCCCAAACATAGCACATGTCATCTAACATTTAATTCCAAGACAATGGGCTTCAACAAGCTGCAACAGTCCCTGCTCTTCAGGTTTCAGACTTTGCACCAGATTTTGGAGCCTGTCTGCAGGAATTCGCTCTGATTCAGACACAAGAGCCATTGGTGGACTAGATAAAGCATGATAAAATGCCCTCTAGGGTGCCTTTCCACTTGAGAAAACGTAATGTCTCGAGTGCCCTTCTAGTGGAGAAAAAGTGATGCAGTGCACGCTAGGGTGCCCTTAAATGAAGAAAACGTGATAAACTGCCATCTAGGGTGCCCCTCCAGTGGAGCTAGTGCGACAAAGTGCCCTTTAGGGTGGCTGTAAAATTGCAAATGCCAGTCCGCCACTGCACAAAAACATTAGTGAGGTCCAACACTGATGTTGAGCGATGAGGTCTGACTCACAGTGGCCGGTCCATTTCATCCCAAATGTGTTGGATGGAGTTGAGGTCAGAGCTCTCGATCAACTTCTTCCACACCATACTCAAGAAAACATGTCTTGGCTTTGTGCAAAGGGTCATCGCCACATTGAAGCAGGGAAGGGATTTCTCTGAACCACTGCCACACAGTTGGAGGAACACTGTTGTCTAAAATATACTTTTTTTCCTGCAGCATTAAGATTTGCTTACATCTGATCAAAGAGATATAGCACAGATCATAAAAAACAGCCCCAGACCCTAAATACATGAACAATGTTGTCCATATACATTTGGCCATATGGTGCTCAAATTGGGGACATATTACTGGTAGGTGTGTGTCTTTGGCGTTCTCTGCTGGAGCTTCAGAGAAGTTAGCCTACTGTCCAACTCGTCCATGAAGCCTTCATCCACTAACTCGCTGTCCACCTCCTCTCCCTCAGCCTCTGTGGGCAGGAACACATGCAGCTGAGTGCGAGCTGGACCGGTGGCGGCAGCGGAAGCAGCAGCAGCCAGAGTGGGGCGTTCACTGCAGCCCGGGAGACAAGGCCTCCCAACGACAGACAAAGGCTCTCCTTGAGACGATGAGTTGCGATACTGCATCACCAAAGGCCGGAGGTCACCCTGTACCATCTCTGAGCTCAGGGAGGGGTTGTGCGAATGGCGCCTCACTCTCGGCTTTGAGCCGGGCTGGATGGCCTGGGAGAAGTGAATATAGGCCGGTCTGCTGCAGCTTTGGACCTGCTGGCGGTTCTGCTGCTGACGAGGCTGGCTGGTCACGGGTGGGCGGTAGGTCTTGCAGGGGAGCGGGACTGATGACTTGGAAAATGGAGGAGGAGGAGGCGGGGGTCTCTTTTGTACAACACTGGGGCGACGGTTGCCAGAGAATCCCTCGAATAAGACGTTCTCATCTGGGGTGAGGAGGGACGGCTCACTGAGGCTGGGGAGACAGTAATGGGGTTTTTTTTAGTCATAAAAAATATTTTCAGGAATATATGTTGATAACAAGCCATGCCAGCAGCTCTGTGAGGCTGTACTTAGGCCCAGCAGTGCTTTCAAGGTATGCAGGAGTTTGCTAAAACAATGATGTATGGACTCCATCTCACCCAATCACAATGCTGACTTGCTGGTTTGTTTTCCAGGTGCGCCATCTTAATTGAGCGTGTTAGCGTGCCAAGATTGGCTAATTAGTACTTAACGCAAAGTGCAGCTGTACAGTACAGTACGGAGGCTAACGGAAATGTAGTCTTGCAGGTATTTAGTCACACTTTTTGTAAAAAAAATATTTTTCACCTGATGATTGCGCTTGATGGAAAGTAAAAATCACCAAAATGTTAACAATTCACCCTGAGGGGGCCATGTATTTCTAAATTAAATTTGGCCGAAATCTACCCAATAACTGTCAAGACGTTTCACCCAAAAAACCACAAATGTCAACCTCATGGTGGTGTTGGAGGATCACCAAAGCCAGAGAGATTCATCCTCTGGGAACCATGAATATCTGTACCAAATTGAGATTTTTAAAGCCAATCCATTCAATAGTTGTTTTGTCTTCCTCTTCCTCCTCATCTATTTGATGGTTATTCAAAACCTGCTGTCCTTGGGTGAGCGGGTTTGTGTGTGTGTTTAAGAGCCTCAAACGTGTGTGTTAGTGTCTGCGTCTCACTCAGGTTTCTCCCCCCCCCGCTGAGTGAAGCCAGTGTGGGTGCTGCATCAGGCGACGGATCGGCTTCCACACCTGAGATTTATGACACACTGGTCGACGGCCTTCTGTAGTCAAAGCAAACCAGCAGGGGGGGGGGCGGTGTAGAAGTGGCCTACATTATGCTATCAAATTTTGGACGGGCCAGAGAGGAAACAATTACACTGTAATTCCAGTCAAGCGTTGAACCTTTGACAGGCACTTTTGCTGAAATGAATAGAGAGACAGTGGACGACGGGAGAGCGGAGATGACATACAGGTGATTAATCACATTCAAACGTGCGGTGACGAGGCTGCACGGTCAGCACCTGGTGTCCTTTATCGTGAACACACTGATGTGACGCAGGCCTCTGTTTGGTGTCGTTTCTTAAAGACGTTTTCTTTTTGCCAGTTTATGTTTGTTATGACATTTAATACACATTGCACATAAATATAATATAAATGTGCTCAGTGAAATCAGGTCTGCTTATTTTTATAGCCCAAAATCACAAATGTGCCTCAGAGTGCTCTTCAGTCTGTACCCATCACAACATCTGTACCCTGGTCCTCAAAGAACTGGAGGAGGCTAGAGAGCAGGTGGCCCGTCAGAAGGGCCTGAAAGAAATGTTCCTTAACAAAGAGAAGGCCACGCGTGATGAACTGGAGAGGCTTAGGCCATGTCCACACTACTCCGTAGATCTCCGTCCACACGGCGTTTCAGCTTCGTTTTCGAGATGATCTCCGTCCAGAATAAAACACTTGAAAAAGAATATCACGTGACTCTTCACGTACACTGGGCATGCGTGTGGGTGCCAATGTAAACAGGAAGTAGATTGGTTGCTTAGTTTAAAAAAAATATGACAGAGTAATAAAGTAGTCTTTAATAATGAAAGATCCTGTTTGATACTTAAGATCTTCTCTAAAATCTTCCTCTATGAACTCAGACACAGTTCGTGGAAAGTTTGAGAAGTTTTATTTTCAGGCTTAACGCTGCAGGTCTTTCTCTCTCTCTCACACATCAAATTTACTTACAACACTTACACATAAAGGTTTACTAGATTGTGGGTCCATAAATGTGGTCAACACACGTCTCTCACTCGTTCCCTCTCGGTTTCGTTGTCTGTTCTCACTCAATGCTCTCTGTCCTACTGGAGAGCATTTACTGCTTTTGTTTCTTTCCAGTTTATCTGCGGACTTCACAATAGTTGTGCAGAACAAAATAAGCATGAATAAGGACAGTAAAGTCCTCCATTTTGTGTCTATCGTCCTCCCTAAAGCCGCTCAGCTAAAGTTTGCAAAAGATTTATGTCACGGTTAAAGAAAAAAAGGCAGGATGGATAAGCACTCACAGCTGTGCAGCACGTATGAAGCTGGAACCAGCAGTGGGGAACAGAAAGCCTTGCACCAGCATCTCTAAAGCAACAGCAGTGCTGTGTGTGTCGAGCCTAAAGCCAGGTTTCCATGTTATGAAGGCGGCTCTCTTTTAAACCTGGCTATATTGCCATGGCAACTTATAGCCAGGCAAACAGGAGCCCTGGTTTTACAGTCCGACGGTGGTGGTTCACTTCTTAGCGGGGTAGATTGCCATAATTAATGCTGCACACCTAACCTTTTCTGGAGCAGTCTCAAATATAATACAGAGCGTTGGATCCACAATAAAAGTGTATTATTATTATAGTGATAGGAGATGTGCAGACCGTGATTTTGAAAAGATCTTATGAGAACATCTGGTGCCCTAATGCAGCACTGAATACAGGAAAGCATATTGCTTGCAATCATATAAAATGTTAAAATATAGGGAAAAAATTCATATCGCAATTTTCAGGGCCCGAGGTGATTTGGTAAACATTAACGGTTAATGTATTTACAAAATAGTTCATTTTTCTTTGATTTACTTCATCAAAGAGTTTCAGGCCAAATGATTCAGATTAAAACCTCCACGCTTCTTAATATCTCTCTCCAGTGTGCAGGGTTTCACCACATCAGGACAGTTTGGCTCGGAGAAACTTACAGAAAACATTTCATAAATTGACCACTTTTCCTTTGACATGAATGTTATTTAACTATTAAACAAAACACCAAGTGATACTTGAAAAAACACAATTTTTTGTTGAACAAAACTGCATATTTTTGCTAATTTAAACAAAGATAGGAGCTGGAAATGACGTACAGTATGTCTGTGTGGAATTTTCCCGATGTGAAACGAAATGTAAGGGTTACGTCAGTTATATTTGTCTGTGTTGATGTTACATTATATGTTACATATATATTACATTATGTTATGTTACATTATATATATATATTACATTTCTATAGAAAACGAAAACATGATTATAGTTTTGAAAGTGAAATACAGTTGGAACTGGAGAAAGAAACATGTTTTCACCCAGATAGTTTGAAGAGTCTTTGAGGCGTCTGGAGATGAACTTAACAACAGCACTATGTGTTGTGAATAACAGGGGATGTTCAAAAAAAAAAAGCCAAAGAAACTTGGCTCAGTGATGTGCAGCTCACCTGAGATGAGCCGTGCTGCTCCGCCTGCGAGGCCCCTCGGCTGTAGCTACCAGCGAGGGCAGCCTCACAGTGGTCCTGGTCCCCCTGGCCCCCCTGGCTCCTCCTGCTGCAGGTGGAGGGTGCACAGAGCTGGGGAGCGGGTAGGTCTGAACCAAAGCTCTGCCCTTCTGGACGGCCCTCCCATGCCACCTTCCACTGATGTCCAAACCCAGGCCGAGCACGGCCGTCGGGGGCGCAGCCCCAGCGGTGCCACTCATTGGTCTCTGTGCCACACCTGTAGGGGAGTGGGGGGGTGGAGAAGTTACCTGAAAATGCCCTCCGACAGTTAAACTAGAAACTGGTTTATCCTGCCACACATGGACGGCCCCCGACAAGAGACGAGACGATCATTAGAGATAGCGAGCAAAGTGGACAAAGATCTAGATCTGTTTGAGTCTGTAGACAGGCAGGGGGTCGGATGCTTAGGGGATCATACCGCTCCACTTGTGGGCAGCTGATGCCATCAATGATGCATCTCCATTAATGATGCATGGCTGGAGCTGGTCAGGTGGACACCACCTACTTTGCCTCCTCTCTCTCTCCCCCAGGTCAGCTTACAGCCGGAGGGAGCAGGTGGTAAACAGGCAGAGCACGAGCGTTGGGCTGACTAGCAAATGCAGATGTGATACAATGACTTTCAAATAAAATAAGACTATTATTTATTTTTGTAAAATGTGGGTAACTTTTGGGGTACAGTATAAGGGGGAACAAAACAGTTACCTTTGTGTACCTCCCACAGTTTTGATCGAATGTTAGAACTGCACATAAATATGATGAATTGTGCAGAATATTAGTGTTATCATTTTAACCCAAAACCTGTTTTTTCAGTATACACTTTAAGTCACACGGTTATCAAACTTTATGGTCCCCTTACAGGAGAGAAAACCTTGTTACTGTAATGTAAATAAGCACGTTTACCATTTTGACTCTAAGGTACCATCGGAAGCATTTGTATTCTAAAATCTTTAAACCAAAATACTTGAGACCGTGTGATCGTGATAAACTTGGAATCATATGAGATAAGCCTTTATTTTGTCCAAGAACGAGATGTTATTCAAATCGCATTGGGACTGAACACAATTTTATAGACTACATTTCAAGGAACCGATATCAAAATCTTTCAGAAAATGAAGAGCAGCAAGACTGGCACAGTCCTAATAAATCCAGACATTTATAAAGCCAACTTTCAGTCAGTGCTTAACCTTTTTAATAATTAACAATATCAGTTTCTATTAGCCGGAAGCTAACGTGGGCGGGAGTAACTGACACTGGGCTGGTTTTACTGGCGCAATTCGTCACCATCTGCAGCTGTGCACTTTTTAATGACAGAACAATATCATTTCTAGCACGTTATTTTGCGTACGTATGAGGGAGTGGCACTTAGAGAATCACTGCGCTAAGTCACCAGTATTAATACCATTTAGTAACTAGTTTACAGGTTTAGTGTGTTGCTGACTAACTGTTTACAGAGTGTTGTAGTACCGAGTGCCGCTCAGGTCAGACGACACCAAACTGGCCCACATTCGGCCTCCTTCAGTCGGGCTCCTCCGTATCGCCTTCCTGCGGCCGGGGCTGGACCTCCTCCAGGGTTGACAGCCAAAACCTACGAGTGTGACCCAGCAGCAGACACATTGCACCTTTCCCCTTAATTGCAGCTGGACTAGTTTCAGAGCGGAGCACTGAAGCCAGTCAGCTGGCTGAGGGGTTTGCTTTTTTCAATGGACTGCTCAGTGCTCAGCTGGAGTATAAAAAGCAGCGGTATGTCCTGAGCTAGTAAAACGGTCTTCATGTTTTCTTGATGAACTCTCCACATGCTGTAACTTAAATTTGATTATGTAAAATGTTAAAGTGTAGTTCTACTTTAAACTCCTAGAAACTTCTCAATGCAATAACCGACAAAAAAAAAAAAAAAAAAACACACTCTTAACCCAAATAATTAGGTGATCATCCACATTGTAAGAAATAAACAACAAAAGGTCAGTTTTATATATCATTTATTAATCGAAACAAAACAGTGCGTCCCTCCTCTGGACTGCGAGCTGCTTGTCCTCCTGCTGGACGCCTCCTGGTACTGCGTCTTCTCCACAACATGCAGCTGTGAGGGAGAAGCAGGAAAAAAATATTGTTAGTGGAGATCACTAAACTTAAATGATTCAACAGTCAAACAGCCAGTGTGGTGTTAAATACAACATGCATCACATTTTTATGCCGTTCAAAGCGTTTTCCATTTTATTGTCTCCAGATATTTGTACAGTACAATTTCACATCCATGTCTGAATAATGAACTGCGGAGGGAACTCACATGGAGGTCGTCCCTGGCATCGCCGCAGTGCAGTCGATGGGTCTCCTGCAGCTCTGGCATTTTTATCAGACGTCTTCATTTTACCTGCGAAACGGGAGGAAACAAAAAAGAAACCACCAGTTGTTATTTAACTTCTCAACTGTTAACGGTGGAAATGCATAAAAAAAATTCTCTCTCTCTCTCTCTCAAATAAGGCCACGCGGTACATTCTGCTGACCGCTGTGGTTCTTACCCGGTTTAGCGTCGAGGCTGCTCAGCCTCCTCCGACGAGTCGAGGATCCTGTGGCGAGAGACAAACAATGAGAGTCTAGCAGTGAACTGGTCAGCAGGTTTCTACCGTCACTTTTTTTGGTTAGTTATATTTACCATTACTATTTTGAGGTTGCCACCTCTAACAAATAAACAATGACTATGCGTGTGTTTTGTGTGTGTGCGAGGGCAGTGACTGATTATTCAAAAAGAAAACCAAACGTGTGTTTTCACTGGAAATACAGGTCATGATGTTATAATGCCAACATGCATTACAATGTAGATGTGAGAAGTACAAATGTGTTATGTGATCGTGTTGAAAATGCAGGTTTTTAGAGAGGCGTCTCGGCACCCTGAAGTAGAGTGAGACGGGACAAACTCATGACAACGTTCGGATCATTTGCAAACCTCAGGGAAGGTAATTCTGTTACAGAGCCATGTGAAGCTGGACTTCGTACTGACACATCAGGGGTGTTGCTGCAAAAAAAAACAGCCCAAACAGAGCTGGGAGCTGCAGCATGAAGCTCGTAGAGAAGTAGACCTGGTCATTTTCTGTGTCAGTCGTGCAGACTTGGGGCAGTGCCCTTTTTAGATGAGGCCATCGAGAGGCCAAAAGGGTTGTTCTGGCATCACACTTAGAGGCGGGACATAAGAGAATGTCACTGTGGCCAATCAGGACTGAGGACTTGGTTAGAAAATGGATCACAGTGCAGACGGATACATCTCGATATGCCTCCAGGGCTGGACTCATGGCATGGCATGGTTCCCTCTTGATGGAGGAGAACCACCACGGTCCCTTACAGCTACGTACGAGGTGGAATAGAGGACAATGCCACAGTGGTGATGTGCTGTGTTTTCACAATGACTGGCTGGTCACTGGTAGGACAGACCGTTTAGGTTCAAACAGGAAGAAAGAGTAAATATGGAGCAGCGAGAGGTACTGAGAGGAGAGAGGAAAGCAGTTACGAGTCCGGCACTGCTGCAAAATGTTTTTCTCACAGAAGAACTACACGTCTCTCCCTTTTCCTCCTTCCTTTCTAGAGGATGTGAAACAACCAGCGCCTAAAAAGGTCGATGTATTTCTGCCGTTTCCTGCTAACCACTTCAGCCAAAAATCAACAACCAGCATTTAGATCAAGAGTTTTCAAAGTTTGTAGTTTTTATATTTTCACTGTGGCGCTCTACCCAAAGGGAAACGTCGCAGTATTCTAGGAGGTTGCTGCCCTGTTAAGGCTTCACACACCGGGCTGTCTTTGGCAAGGTTTAAAAAGAGTTAGAAAGTTTGCCGTCTTGGTTTGGATCACGGAGCTTAGGGGCTTTTTCACCACGTAATAAAATGTATTCAGGAGAAAAAAACAACCCCGGTGTGTAAAGGCCTTTACAGTGTCAATAAATATATTGATAGTGCACCAAAAAGAGAGATTGATTTTCACTGCTTCTATGGGGTCAGATCATCATTAAGCAAAGCAAAGGAACCACAGTTCCCATGAGGCTTTGGTGGCTGTTAACCGGACGTATAATGTTTAGATTCGGTAAGTTAGGATGCAGGCGGCAACTTGAGCCCTTGCTTACATTTTGGATGATTGGCACCATTAGGAGTACACTGATTAAGCCATTAGCAGCTTCAGTGATACTGAAGAAAACTTTAAAATGTGATCATTCTCAGGCAAGTTGTTGAGTTTTAAGGAACACCTTTGACTGTGACTTCTAAACACATTTATGGACGTTAAATTGCGATGAACATCAAAGGAGATGTCCTTTGGAAGTGTAAGACGCACTAAATCTAAAAAAATATATCATGTCTGTGTGTTGAGACCGTGACTAAGTTTAGACTCCAAGAAAGTGCGATTCTTACTAAAATGATCAACTTTACATTTTCAGACTTGTAAATAATGTGCTGGTGAAGCCACTTCAGGTGATGTAGGAATTCAGAGTTTATGGTTAGAAATTGTTCGGAAAGTGTTCCTCGTAATGTGTGGGAATATTTGCATTTTTCGAGAGAAAGAAAAAAAAATTTAACTAAACTCCATCTTCACCAAGTCAGTAAGTCACAAAGGCTGTGGTGTAAGGATCACACTGCAGACTGCTTTGAGCAGTGGATTACAACAGGATGTCTGACACAGGGATTTACGTTTTCTACAATCCCACCCAGAGCAACCCGAGCAGTATGTGACCCGTTTCACGTGAAAGCTGCAAAAACGTCCCAACCCAGTCCCACAACATATTCATGTTTATAGTTTCACAAACAGAATTATGACAAATCTAATAAAAAGGTATCAAACCAGAAATAATTGATTTTTGCATGTTTTTTTTAAAAATCAGACACGGCACTACATGATTGTTAAAGATATTAAAAGAGGTGCAGCACAAAGACAAAACTACGGGAAAAAGCTTTCTTACAGCATTACAGTGGAGAATGCCATCTTTTTGAGTTTGAAACACTTTTCTGTTCCTCGTTGCACACAGCTTGCCTAATACCAAAGCTAATAACCATTATATTAATTATATATAATGTCTAAAAAAAGATTTCAGGAAAAATCCCCAAAGACATCAACACAAACTGAGGGAAGAGACAAAGTATTTTGCATAGCTTTACAAGATTTGAGCTTTCTAACCCTTTAAAAATGCCTAAATTCAGTTTTCCATCTTGCATGAATGCCTCGTGTTCATAAAATGACAGCAGCACTGCATCCCACAACACTCAGTGTTGAACCAGTGACTCGGCCGTCCATACACAGGTACCTTTCGTGCATGCATACAGAGAAGCCAAAGTACTACAACCACACACACACACACTGCACAGGCTATAACGCTTAGTCACATTCCACACAGGTTTGAAGAAAGGGAACCTGCACTGTGATGCCATTCTTTGCCAGTGTGATGCCAGAAGCCCTGTAGAGCATCACTGTAGAGCAGTGACGCGGTGAAAGAGAGGACAGAGAGAAGAGTTAAGTCATGGGAGAAGAACTGTGCATCTTGTATAATAAAACATGGATGGGACACTTACCTTGCTCGTCTGTGTAAGCATACCTCTCTGGCTGCAGTGCAAACAAGTCCGGGCTTTACTGTCCACTGACTTCTGCAGAACTACTCATCGCCAATGTAACCCAACTGCAGAGAAGAGGCTCTATTGTGGACTGGGGCAGCTAACGCACCCTCTCATTTACCCAAAGGACATGAAACACGCACACACACATAACCACACGGGCACAACACGCCATCCTCTCTTCTGCCAGTTAGGGCGCATGGGGCTTCCTGCCTCAGGTAGGTTGGTGAATAGGTCGGTCAGGTCTACTAGTGCGGTTTTCACCAACAGCTTTCAGGGGTCAGGAATGTTCCACAAAGAGAGAATTATAAGTGGTGAGGCCTTTCAACAAATCTTGACTAGGAACTTGTCTTTAGGTATGATGGCATCAAGGCTTTGGTATCCATTACTCCCATGACACATGGTCAAAATGAGTTGCAACAGGGGACACCCCTGATCCGAACCTCTATATTAAGAGTTACTTTACAGTCTGTTGACGAAGTTCTCTTAAAAAAAATGTTAAAGCGTTGCTGTAATCCAGTGATGCCTTCAGTGTGTTGGTTAAAAGGGGCATCACTGTTCTGAACATCTAATATAGTTACTGTGTAGTCTGTCAAGAATCTGCCTTTCAATAAACCTTGACATAGAACTGAAAAATACGTTTAAACGTTTACTCACACAATGCCATCAAATGTGCTGCAATAGGTCCCTGTTCTGAACTTCTAAAATAGTGACTGTTCAGTGTGGTTGTTGTCACCATTATGATGCTCGACTGGTCTTTAACAATGTTTTGAAGTGTGCTTGGCGCCACCTTAAAACAAATCTTGACTGGGAACTTGTCTTTAAAAATGTCGGCGTCACAGCTTTGGTTACCATTTTTACTTTAATAAGTCAAAATGCATTTGCAACACCTATTTGAACCTTTTTAATATTGTTGCTAAATAGTTTAGCCTTTGATACAAATCCTGACAAAAGGCATCCGTTTAAAAATGTCAAAGATAAGAGTAAAATGTCTAAATGTGTTGGCCATGGGGGACACCACCATCCCAAACTGTAATGTAGCAACTGTGTAGGTAAATGTGCTTGCAGCTCTTTAGACAAATCTCGACTAAAAACATGTCTCAAAAAATGTTCAAGGTTTGGTTTCCATTTTTAACTTAACAGTCTTGTGCAAGACAAATGGCCAACTTCACAAGCTACAGAGCCAGAACCTATTGTGATCAGAAATAAATGTCAAAAAAAGATGCTATCTGGTCCACAAGAATGAGTGCGTTTCATTAATATAAGCGAAGAAGCTACAGACTTTGAATTTCTTGGTTTGGAACGTTCCTTCTCATAGTCCAACACCTTTAAAGATGGCCAAACCTGTTAAAGAAAAACAAATTGTACACAACACACAGACATAACATTACAAGTTTTAAAAGTGTCACTTCGGTCACGTCAATAAGCAATTGCACTATTTTGCAGGATGTTCAGACGCCGTGTGGAGAACATCCGTCTGACTAGCAAAGCCCTCAATACTTGTGTAATACACGATACACAAAAGGACATAGCCGATTTAAGATTTTTTTAAGCTGCGGATTCAACTTTCAATTTCTTTTTAGCACTTAATAATATCAAATCGTATTTCGCTATGTGACAAAATCCCTTCCAGAGGTAATGCAGTTAAACATCTACAAAAGAGCACTGAATATGAATTCAAAGGGGCTTTGTTATTGCGTTTAATTCTCCTTGTAAATCTTCATAAATTGAGAAAAGTCACTACAAGGATGGACTACTATTAACAAAAGAAAAGAAACGCCAGCATTGTTCCACAAACAATGGTTGTAAACTGGTTCCAGAACAGGGATATCACAAGAACCGAGAATTTGGTACATAGTCGATGCCAAAATTCTGAAAACTTGACTGTACTTGTTTATCTACAGTACCGGATGTACCCAGATCAGGGCTCAAGATTAATGGCGTCCCAGGGACGACAGAAAATGTCCCTGAAAATGCTATATTGTAAACAACAAATCCGTGATGAAATCGACAGAAGAGTGAGCTAACGTTAGCTGTTAGCAGTCGGTGGGCGGCACAGCCCCGCTTGGCTAAATAACGGAGCTAACGGCTAACGTACAGAGGTTGCACTGAGTCAATACGCTCAAGCTCAATTTAGTAAAATGGGTATTGGGCAAAAGGTTCATTATAACGTTACGTGCTCAAATGCGATCTTGTCAAATTTTGGATTTGAAGAGAAACTTGAGGCGGATCAAGCAGGATTTTGAATAAATTTGCAAAAAAAACACTAGGCAAACCGTAATAAAGGAGTGGATGTTGAAGTATGAGTTTGCTTATTACCGTGGGGTCAAATTCGGTATCGCAGAATTTCACCGGCATTGGTATCGACCATTACATTTTTAGTATGGTGAGATCCCTAGTCCAAACTTATTTATCAATAGTTTTCAGAAAATCTGATTTAACCAACCAACACTAATCTGGTGTTAATCTAATCTTCCATTCCCACAACAGAAGTGCAATGATGCAACTACAGCATGCCTTCAAAGATATCAGATATGTTGGGAAATTGATGACTGCAGTATACTTAAAAGTTTAAGGCATTCGCTGAAGCCAACCACTTTCAGAAAAAGTAAATGCCTAAGTAAGCAAAAGTTGATCGAATTTCAGGTCCATGAACTGAGGTGACATTTCTCAGGTAATTTTAGGGATCTCCTTTTTTAACAATAAACAGGCTACACTTAACTATTAGGAAATGTTTTTTAAAATCCAGTGAGTTGCAATTTAGTCATGTTCTTGTCTCTCCAAAAAGCCACAAAGCTAGATCAGCATCATTCCCGAGTCCACGCTATACAGCCAACCTGTTAAAGAAAAAATGTACATAACACAAACACACGCATCATTACAGATGAACACTCCATGACATCCATTTCTGTTACCAAGTATCTGGAGTCCTCTTTTTCGCAGCCATTGCAGATGTTTTTCAGGGTTCTCTGATGCCACATGAAGGAGATGATTTACTTAAGATACTTGATATAACAAAGCAAAAATGCACAAGGACACAAGGTAGCCAAATATTAGAAATGATTATTGTCCTATTGGAGAAATGGAAGTGTGGCAGCCCTAAAAAGTACTTGGGAAAGGGATTTGGGCATTTGATTTGATGAAAAGGCTCAAAGCTGGAGCAATTCTCGTACAATGACGGGGGACTTGTGGTTAAGATTGATACAATGTAACATTCTGCATTGATACTATTGGACCTTAACAGGTTACATAGACTTGGCTTTAAGGATTCTGTGACTTGTAGGTGGGATGAGGGCACTAGAGCAGCAAAATATTGTCAGGAACTGTAAAGTCCCCTGAACAACTGCTTTTTAGCATCGAGTAACTGGAATGGGAAAGGTTGCTATGCATTTAAGAATGTCATACAGGATTAGTAAAAGGGCAGCTAAAGTGGGAAAGGTATGTTGCTGTAGAACAGAGTATGGTGGAAGCAACTGAATCACAAGTACGGTCAGGCGATTTCATGTTCTTAAAAGTCTTTACTGAGGATCAATGCATCTATTTACTTATATTGTATTTCTACAATGTCTCATTATTGAATTGTTTTTGGGATAACAGGGTGGGGAGGGAGCAATGAGGAGGGATATGATATGCATTTGTACAGTTTTTTTAGTCATGAGCATAAGAAAAAGCAAAGATTAATTCATACCGTTATATTTTTTAGATATTGTGCAGGTACATTATCATATTGTGCACAAGAATGCTACAAGCCATAAAGTTTTTTGATGTCTGGCACACTTCAATGTTTTGGAAGCCATTAGACAAATGAAGACCATAGGATGCATTGTGATCATTTAGTTATAGGTCCACATGTTCTCCAAAGACAGCCAATGGACACATGTATGAGCACTATACAAGTGGCTCCACTTATTGTTCTTGCTCATCTCAAAAATGTAAGCATTCTAAAAGAAGTAGCAAAATCTGTGCTGTTGCAAGGAACTACATGTAAATACACCTTCAACAGCCCACAGAATGTCCTTTGAGCTAGTGCCAGGAAACAAATGAATAAGTGCTCCATCCATAGAAAGGACATTGAACTGCTTCGTGGTCATTTGACGAGAACAAAAGAAAAATGGTGATTGTTAGTTATGGCGACAACACACGTCAGTAGGGCCGTAGTGTCTCCGCAGTGAACACAGCTTCAGAGATGGTAGGCTGGCTAGGCAGCTCGTCATTATCCACATCGGCGAGGAGTAAGGCGGAGGGGCCGTTAACTCCCGGCACTGCTGCTGGCCACCAGTCCAGAGTAGCATGAAAGCGTGGTGGAATTAGCACACTAGCTAGTGGACAGCGCAGGAGTGCGCGGAGAAATCATTAGTTTTTAAAATGTTAAATGTTTACACTTCTTAAAGTTACTACCCCACTGCAAAACATAACCTCAGTTAGCTCCCTTCAATGATACACATAAAAGTAGCCACCGCTCTGACCATCCTGCTACGTTGATTTAAAGGGGAATGTCCGATCTACTCCCATTTCTCTGGCTTCATCTTTATATTCTCCATTTCCATAAAACAAAAACGTGAAACTATGGTTCTTAAAGGTTAAGTGAAATGTGCTAAATCTGCAGTTGTAATTAATACAAGAATACTTACACTCACTTTTACAGCCCATCCCATCTTCTCCTACCACACAACTCTGAGAAATGCTTGCAGAGGCAAGCCAGTGTCCATTTGACGCCAAAGTGAAGTAAGAAATCCTCAGAGCGGTTCATGGGGAGTGGGCAGCAGAGTTTAAAAAAAAAGAAAAAAAAAAAGAAAAAGTGACTTTCAATTGCAGGGTTTAGACTTCTTTTCTTTGATACGGTAGTTATACAACATGTTAATAATTTGCCATTTTCTTGACATAGCAGGCCTCAATTTACAGAATTCAGTTGAAATCTGTGATTCAAATGTCAAAAGGACTAAAAGGCTCTGCATCCTGGGCAAAAGGTAGCCATGACAGGTATAATTAGGTAGGTAATTGTTCTGTATATTTTTGATAGTTTTAGGCCATGTGTTTCTTGTAATATCACCACAGATGACATTCATGCAACTACAGCTAACACATGAAATGATGTCTCCTGAAATGCAGAAAAAGGTGATGTCAATGGGCTGCTGTGGAATGCAACCCACTTAATGATATGAAGCAGTGTGAGAACACCAAACTGAAGCTAGATCTGAGCACGATAATAACATGAAGGCACTGTACCCGAGTAACACAGTAAAGCTCGTCCATTACAGTCAATGAACTAGAAAGAGAACTTCTTCCAGCCATGTTGTTTATGCATCCAGCCACATGAGAATGCATCAGTGCAACACAATTACAATTCACAGTGTAAAACGAATAAGATTATCAAACCATTAAACTGATCAGTCTTCCTTTTGTGAAATGACGTAAAATGGAATTCACAATCTGGAGGATGTGAAATGTCCGCATGTCTTGCCAGTTAAAAGAAAAAAGAAAAAGGGTGAGGCAGACGGGCCACATATCCCACTGCAGTATGAGCCACATCGATGCAGTTTACCTCTTAGGACAAACCCTGGATTTCTTGTCTTCTTCCAGGTCCAGCACAACGAACGCTTCGTCACAGTACAACTTGTGCACGTGAGGGACTTACATCTTTTTACTTTGTTTGCTGGCTCATGATACACTAATATCATGCTCGATAAAAATCATGAATGCATAAATAGTTTTGATTTAAACAAGAACTGAAAATAGTTAGTCATACTGACTTTCTTTTTAGTAAAATATGTAAGGGTTGTAATTTTCATCTATAGATTGAACACATTTGATACAGGTACGCTATAGTTTCTGGTGAGTATGACTACAAAACTGACCCCAATGCATGTTTGCAAGTCCAACTGGCCCTTTGCCAGTCATGCAATGGCAGGTTTACTCTTGCCAACAAATACTGCAACTAAAGTATGGTCATTCGATTCTAACAGTTTGAATTCAATTGAATAAATACTTCCTTTTGTGTTCATATAAGATACAAGCCGTTTACAGCCGTTGTACCCAAAATTAAGTCCATAACTGAACATGACTACGTTTACATGCAGGTTTGGAAAGGATCATCTGTCTAAGGCACGGGGAAACAATGTCATGTCCTCAATCTGTGAACATGCGGCAAAAACAAAGATGGCGGACTACCAGCATTGTAAGGCGACGCTAAGCAGCAACTCAACCTCGCTGCCCGTCCACGCAAGTCAAGCTTTGGTTTTGCCAAATCACCTTGGGCACGCCTTGCTAAGCTAGTTTAGCAGAGCATCTCCCAGAACAAACGTGGCTCACCAGAGTAGAATGTTTTTCTTCCGTGGTGGGAGTGTCAGACAGCACGTTGTCTGTTACGTCGGGTGCCTTGTTGAGTGCATTATATTTCCCACAATTTAAGCTTCTACATTTTCCAAATGCAATAGTATTATTCAAACGTATTTTTCGGTTCGTAATGCCTACCGAACTGTGAGCCTCGTACCGAACAGTTAAATACGAATATTGTTACACCCCTACCAGCAAAATAAAAAAAGCTCACATCGCAGACATATTGTTAATGTGGCTTTTATCGCCACCTTCTGGCTCTGGCAAGTAGTTTTAGCGGTCAAGCTTGGATGGAGGTATTTTCTTAACGAAAGGTTGTTTTAACATTTTCTTTTTGAATTGAGGAGGGGGGTATTTTTGAAAATATCAGTACATGTGTAGACACGGCCCAAGTCTTCATACAGTAGCTGGGTACCAACAAGGTAGCCGTTTATACTGCATATACATAACCGCTTGGGCGAAAGGAGTTATGGGCTTCTTATTTGCTTAACTACAACAGTCAGTGCCATTTCTATTACATGGCCGGCCTGCACACACTGAAGTACAAGGGTACATCTTATGTATATTCTCATTCGTCTCATTGCCAAGAGCAGAACTTAGACTTAAAGCTTAATAATGTCCAGTGACACATCATTGGGAAATATGAACACAAAAAGGATCATCAAAAGCCTAATATACAACTTACGAGCTGGATTACGTTTTGAAATTGTGATGAGATATCATCTATTGATAAAAGCAACAACCCATTTGCTACAAAGAAGCCGCAACAAGAATTGGCGATTTTGCTAATATATATTGGACTGCATGTAAACATAGTCAATACTCTCCAAATACACACAAGACACAATAATGTGGACCGTGTGTTACTGACAGACCGAGTACGTCATATGAGAAGAATGTGCCCACTTGGCCACACACACACACACACACACACACACACACACACACACACACACA